TAACATAAATGTATTACAGAGTGCTTACCCTCTAATAGTATGTGTACCCCTATCAATTCTACTGTTAGCTCCTTTGATCGGCTGGAAACTGTTTGAGCTAGCTAGTTTAAGTGGCGTACTAATACATTCAATACCTGTCTTAAATGCTGTCAGTATTGTCGTTTGTATACCATCATATCGGCACAAAACTATAAGAATGTTTCGATGTTATGGTAACTCGAAGAAAGAAAGTATTAACACTATCAAAAGAGCTAGTGTTTCTATTACTATCAACAAGACACAACGGTCGACATGAAAGTTTGTGCTTGTTTTAGTATAAAAATAGAGATTATTGTAGTATGATTATTGTTCTCCAAAATAAAGTTAATACAAAGAGTTTTGGCACAGGAGAGGAGGGAAAGGCTGAAAATTTTAAGGCTTAGAAAGAACAAAAAATAGGGGTTGGTTAGATATTATACATATATATGTTTAAATATAAAGAAACATGTATTGTGTCAAACAACTAGGTTATTTGGATATTAGAAATGTGACAAGCATGATAATGAGCAGTGATAATTAGTTTTACAATAACATTGTATATTTTTTAAATACCAGACAGAATAATGTCTAAATTTATGACCAGCTATTGTTTAGCAACTCTACTTTATTGTTGCTCATTCTTTTACTATTCTAGACTTTTTACTGGTAGGTGTTAGCTACTTTACCCGCAACTCTATTTTCAAAGTTATCCATAACTGAATGTACCAAATAATGACACTATTGTTTGAATAGTAACTATAATGCGCTTGTCTTTAACTTATGTTGCATTTGTAGTATTATCACTATGTCTTACTTTCTTTACTGAGTTTTATCTTTGCAGTCTCCTCATGTCTAAAGAGTTGTATAGTATAGCTGGCAAAAGTTTGTTGTACATGTCTTTTCCGCGTATGTATAGTAAAACTTTTATTTCTGGAATCAAAAAAAATTATGAATATGTCTACAATTTAACAGTTTTAAGGCTTAGCATTGTGCCTTAACTATAATTGCTCAAAAACAACACACGCGTATAGTAATTTCTACTATAGCTAAAATTTTAAGACCTTAATATTTACCTGGTACTTAGGCATCAGTATTGTCTAAATTATTGGTTTACTTAAGTAATATTTAAGAAATTGTCAGTACAATTAAGAACGTTTTAGCTAGAATACTTAAAAAATTATATGTTATAAAAGTTTTCTTTTTAATCGTTTAAAGTTAAACATTTGGTTGTTTTGATGGACAAGTATTTTTTTAAAAAGACCATCTTTCATTAATATTATAAAAGCTTCATTACCTACTTCTACGTCTGACCATGTTACTCATCATTATTCTAAACTTCTTAATTAGTGTAATGGGTTTGATATTACCTATGTATGTTATAATCTTAGTAGTAAAAACAAGAAACAAGAACGTACAAATATATGTACGAATGTTGGTCATCAACTGCATTGTTGACATCCTGTATTCGGTTAGCACTTTGGTAATGTTTCCGGTAGGTTGTAGTACTGTTACATTTATGGTAAGTTAGGCTGAAGCGTAGGTAAGGTAAAAGAAGAACTATGGTAGGACCAGCTGAGGGGTAGGCTTCACTAGAATAAGCTAGTACAGGGTTGGTGTAAGGGCAGGGTAATCTTTTAGTACAGGGTTGGTGTAAGGGCAAGGTAAGGCCAGGGTAGGGCAAGTGTAACAAAAATGATAAGTTACACTGCAATTTCAGTGCTGCCTAATAAAAGATTACAAAATACTAGTAACGTACCATAACCCTTACTTCCCGGAAAATATATACGTCATGTTATTATGCTTCGCTACCCATTCGACTCTTATCAATTTGGCATTGGCAATGTCGCCAATTCAGTTTTGGTACAGATACAAAGTTGTGTCGTCTCAAAATTATAGTATAAAGACTATCTTGAAGCCTTTATGTTTCGTAGCTTTTCACTTGGCACTACATCACGCAATATATTCCACTTTACTACATGGTAAAAGTCATGCGTATGATAAGATATTGGAGGATGAAAGTATTGATAGTACTGTTTTATACCTTGTGGTTGATTTTGTAAGTTTTTTGCAATTATTTTGATTACTGCGCTATGATATTGCAATACTGTTCTCACTGCATACTACAGTGACTTTATTATAAAGGATAATTGTTTTTATATGTACAAACAACATTTTTTAGAAAAGAGAGCCTTTGTTGACACCAGTTATTGTATGTCTAATGTCATCACCTACTGTTGATTACGCTTTGATTAGGCATTTTTACAAAAAATCGCAAAAGATTTTAAAATTTCGTGAAAAGAATCTTACCTCATCAACCTTGAAATCTCAGAGACAAATGAAGCGCATTTTGATTTTACAGGTAAGGCATACTGAAAGGTTTTACATAAAGCTACGTTACGATTGGACTTATTGTAAGGTTATTGCAAATATAAATTTAGGTTAGATAGGATAGGCTTAAGAATAGGATAAGGATAGGATAAAAAAGGTAGGGCACGGACACGGATAGAGCAATGTAGAGCAAAGATAAGTCTACAGTAGGCAAAGGTAGGGACAGAACGACAAAAGCCAACTCAAATATCTCAATTTAAGGCAATCTACCCCCTAATCCTATGCGTACCACTATTTGTCATGATGGTCAACTCCGTCGCTGGTGGCACTATGAATCAATTGGCTAATGTTGGACTTTTTTGTATGCATACAATACCAGCCTTGAACTGTCTGAGCGTAATTATTTGTATTCCATCATATCGTCAAAAAACGTTTAATTTTGTTTTAAAATATTGGAGACCGAACAGTACGCCAGTCACTGGTGAAACAACTTATACAAGATCTTCTGGTTTTAATGTTGAAAACTTACAAATCAAATTATGAAGAGAGTTTTAAGGCTATGTTATTAATAAATTTTGATTATATATTATGCAAAAGTTTACAAAGTTTCACTCAACTAAGCCTAATAAAAATTCGTTTCTTTATTCTTTGTTTGTTTACACTTTGTTAAGCTTAAGGATAATATGGTTACGATCAGGGCCGGGTGCTGGGGGGGGGGAGGCACGGGGAGGGGGGGACTCCACCCAGGAAAAAAATTTTGAATGAGTTGAACGTGGTCCCCTTTGTGGATTTTCGGAAAAAAATTTTTGCAAAAAATTGGCACATGTAAAACCTGTGTTGGTTATTCGGACCCCCGCCCCAGACCAAAAGTCCGGCCCTAGTTACGGTTATTAATAAAGATAAGCTCAAACCTAACAAGGCTAAGCAAACTAAGCTTAAACCTACTAAGTCTGTTCTTGCTAAACAAACGGTATTAAACTATTAAGCTTAAGTTGAAAAAATCACAAACTACATCTCAATTACATTGTTTTTCCCACAATGCTTATGGTGTTCCAATCAAATTTAGGAAGGAACTTAAAAATATGAGAATTTACTTAATTGCAAAAAGGAAGTGGGAAGTTATTTAAATTGTTTGATGCCGTTCATTGAAGTCTTTTTTAGAGACCGCAATTATGTCCAATAATTTGTTAAAATTCAATTTTTTAAAAACAACTTATTTACTGGAATCTTTTGCAAAAAAGACTTCATTTCAATTTTAATTCTACTACAAAGCTAAAATGTCTTGGTTACGTTTCCAGTTTCTTGGAACATACCTAGACCTTATGTTTGGTATTCTTGGCATAATATTGCCGGCCTATGTTATAGTATTAGTCAGAAACACAAACAAGAAAAATGCCAAAATTTATGGGCAAATGTTAATCATCAACAGTGTAGTTGACATCTTGTATTCTATCACTACTGTTTTGGTCTTACCGGTAAGCAGGATAGGTTAAGACAAGATAGAGTAAAGCAGAGTAGGGTAAGGGAAGGTAGGGTAGGGTAGGGTAGAGCAGGGTAGGGTAAGGTAGGGTAAGGTAGGGTAGGGTAGGGTAGGGTAGGGTAGGGTAGGGCAGGGTAGGGTAGGGTAGGGCAGGGTAGGGTAGAGTAGAGTAGGGTAGGGTAGGGTAGGGTAGGGTAGGGTAGGGTAGGGTAGGGTAGGGTAGGGTAGGGTAGGGTAGGGTAGGGTAGGGTAGGGTAGGGTAGGGTAGGGTAGGGTAGGGTAGGTTAGGGTAGGGTAGGGTAGGTAGTAGGGTAGGGTAGGGTATGGTATGGTAGGGTAGGGTAGGGTAGGGTAGGGTAGGGTAGGGTAGGGTAGGGTAGGGTAGGGTAGGGTAGGGTAGGGTAGGGTAGGGTAGGGTAGGGTAGGGTAAGGTAGGGTAGGGTAGGGTAGGGTGAATTATTTGCAGGATAAAGCATGGCTATTTCCACCAAACGTAAAAAAGCTATTTCCACCAACGTTGCTTCTTCAGACCTGTTTTTGCATAGGAAACACAATATTTGCTGTGTTCTACAATACAATGTTGTCAACAGACCATTACATTCTCACTGGTTTATGGAGCGTACAAACTCTTTTAATATTCATGACAATATTAATTATACCAGTACAATTTTTTTATCGATTTAAGGTTATATCATCACAAGCTCATACTTTGAAGACTTTGTTAAAACCTTTATTTGCTGCTCTTTTATATGTATTGGTACCGGTTACTTATCAATTTATTGTTGCTCGGCCAAAGAATAAACGATACGACAAGATTTTAAAAGCTGAAGGCGTGGATCTGGATGGCATTGTATATACGGCTATTGATTTGGTAGATTTATTAATTTTATAAGCTTATCATGGTTAACCTTCTTGTTCTTAAGTCTACTAAGCCTAGGACAACTAAGTCTGAGCCTACTAAGTCAAAGCCTAAGCCTAGTTAGTCTAAGTTTAGTAAGCGCAAGCCTATTAAGCCTCAAGTCAGCTTAGCAGTTCTAAGCCAAAATTTTAATATTTAATTCAATATTTTTAGCAAGCCGATTACTGGTTATTTTTATATTTTATTTGGTCGTCTATTACTAACAACCTGAGTTACGGTATTATATTATACTACTACAAAAAATCTAAGCGAACAATGGATATTTACAAACAAAATGTTACTGTTTCGACACGAAGAGCTCAAACTCAAATGACTAAAGTTTTGATTTTTCAGGTACATTCTTATTTCTGTAGCTACTCAAATGCATTTTTAAAAAGATTTAGTATACTGTAGCTTTAAAGTAAAAAAATTTTTGACATTTTAAGTTTTTCAAGTTAAATATTCAAAATAACTTTTTTTTAGGCTTCTTACCCATTAACACTATGCATTCCATTAGTTATCATAGTCACAGCTACAATGTACGGTGTGCATTTGTTGGACATGGCAACAATTGGCGTCTCTTTGATTCACGCACTTCCAACTTTAAATGGTATTAGCGTTATCATGTGTATCCCATCGTATCGGACTAAAACTCTTGGGTTTTTAAAACAAAGGGTCGGCATGACACTTTAGTATTTTTTACGGTTTTGTGCATTTCTTCAGAAAGTTCAAATTCAATAAAAAATATTTTAGTAATAAAATTTTATTTCTTGCTCTACTTCTATTCTTATTTTACTTCTAATATTATACACCTAATTTAGCTGTTATCTCGGGCTGTACTAAAATTTTCAAAATTTTCTTTGAGAGTTTACATAAAAACCCTAAAGCTAGTTGAATTATTTTTAAAAACTTTTCTACAGTAATTGTTTCTGTTTCATTTCCTTAGTATCAACCACAAAATTAATCATATATATGTTAATGTTTTGTAAATATTCAACAACAACACAATTTGATCTTTGATTTCTGGATTAAGAAAATTAGATTTTTTTCTCACTCTTTAAACGTACTGTAATGAGAAAGTCAATTATGAATGTAAGTTTTATCGTGAAACGATGATACAGTAAACACCAAAAGTCATGTAACTTCTAATTATTACAATTGTAATAATAGTAATTAGTACATTGCTCTCATTTGTGACATTGGTTGTTCAACTTTTACATACAATATACTCTAATCCTTCAATATAAATAAATAATAATTTATTTTTATTAATATTTTTTCTTTAAAGGTGGTGTTGCTTGTTCAGAAGTTTGTTGATATATATAAATTTAACATATATAGCTTTAGCGGCTAAAGTTGGTTTTTTTTCTTTTTAAAAATTTTAACTAACTGCTATTTCAGAATAGGTAATTTTAGTTAATCATATCACGATTTTAATTAAACCTAACTTATGCTACACTTTGTCTTAGGCTGAGAAAGCAAAACTAAAATGCGGAAGCATTCAAGTCATTCTCAGGCAAAAACTCACGAACGCAAATTGTTTTTTAACAATGTTAATTGACTAAAATATCAATTTCTAAGAACAGTACTCATTGTAAGATAGTTTTATTTCTTTAAAAAAAGCAGTTGTGAAACTAGTGCTATCTTCTTAAAATTTTTTTAAAATTTGTACTATGTTCAACACTGAGTACATAGTCGCTACAGTCAGCTTACTTGGTATAATATTTCCAACGTACGCTGCATGAATCATAATGCGTACAAAAAGCAACAAAGATTTAAAAACCTATGGTCAAATGTTAATTGGCAGTTGTGTTATTGACGTTGCTTTTTCATTTACAACGTTTTTGTTTATACCGGTGAGTTACAATGACTTATATCCTACCCTTATCATATCCTAGCCTTACCCTTGCTTTATCCTAGTTTTACCTTACAAGAGTAGGTTTTGAGTTTAGGCTTAAGCCTACTGTAGCCCTATTTTGGCTCTACTTTAAATTATTATATCTAGTCTTAGCGTATTCATATTGTAACCTAAAAAATACTATCAGTCTATCAGTCTTTCCGGAAAAGAATGGGAGGTCTGCACAGTGCAATCCCTGAGAAAATCGCTGCCCAATTGCACCGTACAGCTTACCCCGCGACCTCTTTCGATCCCAAACGATGATGGAAAAACTGCACAGTGCAATCCTCCAATTGTTGCACCGGTCCGTTGTCGCGACAGTCAGGGGACTTGCGACAGTCAAAAGAAAGTTGTCGCAAGTCTTCCACTGAACACAGTGGTGGCTTGTGCGTTGCGACAACCGCGACACGCTGTCGAATCGCCTTTTAAATCGCGACGCGACAGTTTGTCGCAAAGCTTTGCACCCTGCGACATTGCGATTCCCATTGGAATGTCGCAAGGTGCAAGCGACTGTCGCAAGCCTTGTCGCTTGTCGCCCAATTCTCGGCGCGACAGCGATTTCTTCAAATTGGGTTTTGCGATTTTATCCCATTCTTTTCCGGAAAAACTGATCCTTTACTTTTCAGTACGTTATAAACTTTTACTTTTCAGATAGCCTATACCACCAAAACCGGGATATTTATATCAGTACATGGTTCCTCACTTCCGAACAACGACCTAGCATGTCGTATAGCATTAGTCATACACTTGACACTCCATTACATAGTCGTAGCCATGCCTTCTATTTTGTTTTACATTCGCTATAAAGTTATTTCAGCTAACTTACCAACTACTCGTACTTTGTTTAAACTAGTGTTTTTTGTAGGTTTTTACGTATTTTTATTAGAACTTCATACTGTATGCTTAATGAACACAAAGAGTGAAGAGTACGATGAACAGTTGAAAGAAATTGATGTGGTTACTGACGCACCGTACGATGTTTTTGATTATGAGGTAAGTATTTATATGTAAGTGATGTTAGATGAGGAAGATCAGTTACGAAAAATAAAGGGAGGGGAGAGGGGGGGGGGTGAAAAAAAAATAAATTTTTTAAAAAGTAAGTTAAAAAATAAAAAGATAAATTACTTAAAAAATTTTTTAGGACATGCACATTCGAATGTTTGCCCATTTAACTTGGTCAACACTTTCTGTTAACATGTGCTATGTCTTTATTATATACTTTTATCGTAAAACCACCAAATGCATGGATTCATATAAGCAGAGCGTAACAGAATCAACTCAAAAAGCCCAAACTTATATTACAAGACTATTGAAATTTCAGGTGAGCTAGTTTTAGTTTTAGCTTTACCATTTGCCTTAGCCCTGGCCTTAGCTCTGGCCTTAGCCCTGGCCTTAGCCCTGGCCTTAGCCCTGGCCTTAGCCCTGGCCTTAGCCCTAAAATTTGCCCTAGGTTTAGCCTTTTTTAAAGAAAGTTTAAAAACAAAATAAAAATATTTAAAACCAATAATTCTAGGCGTCATATCCAGTATTTGCATCACTATTCCTGGCTCTAATACATTTTGCCCCAATGGTTGGCTTGGATATGTTTGAATATATTAGATAGATTGGTATGCCTGCACATTTCATGCCATTTTTAAATGGTCTCAGTATGTTTATGTTAATACCTACTTATCGAAAAACAGCACTTCAAAGCTTGAGATGCTTTAAACAAGTCGACAATATGAATAATCCAAAAGGCTCTAATCCAGCATCGCTACACTAATATCTTCCAATCTATTAAAAAATAGTGTAAAATAGCATATATACAGTTTATTTATCAATAAAAGTAAAAAAACATTGTTACATTTAATATAATACATAAAAAAACTTGTAATACGTAGTACAATAGACATATATCCACAACAAGTTAGTCCATATCTACGAAACAAATTTTCAAAGCCAAAAGACCTTCAAACTCATAAAAAAAGTACTATCAGTACCACATGATCAATATACATTATACGGATAAAAATGTTGTTTGTATTGCGGTGCCAAGTTTCCAGTACCGTAGTAAATAGGGCCATTTACTGTCGAATTCTCACTACCGTATATGCCATTTTGATACGGTAGGATAGCCGGTTTTTTCTGTTTAATTAAAGCGTGTAAAGCGTAGATTATCGAAACAAATAGTACCAAAATGACAAACAGTACCAGTAGACCAATTGCCCAACCATAGCCAACAGAAGAGTGAGCCAAGTCTTCTAGCCCACAACAACCATTTTGACAACAGCCCAAGTCGCAAATTAGCTGGATTGGCTGAGGGCTTTTGAGCTTTTTGTAGTGACACAAATATTGATTTTCTAAAATGTTGCGCTTTGTATTAAAAATGGCAAAAACTTTGTTTACAAGACTTCAAATGGCAAGAACTTTCTTTACAAAACGAAGAATGGCAAAAACTTTCTTTACAAGACTAAAACGAGTAAAAATTTTCTTTACATAAATTTTTTATTGTAAAATACTATGTTATACTAGATTGATGATGGTTACTGCGTACCATGTACAAAACTACCCACCTGGTAAAATCTCCTGTCGAATAAACGATTCAATAACGTGTTGAATATTTTGAACAGTTGGCTCAAATGTCCTGAAAAGTGTTTTCATTGTGAAAAATAACAAAAACTTTCTACAATACATCAAATAGCAATAATTTTCTTTACAAACGAAAAAATGACAAGAACTTTCTTTACAAAACACAAAATAGCAAGAACTTTCTTTACATATGTCAAAAATTTTCTTTTAAAATCTTGTTACTCCTTACGTCGTACTAACAGCCAGTCGTTGAAGTTCTTGCTCTGAATTTTTCAAATTATTCCAACGTGATCCCATACTGTCATCTCACGTGCATTTGTTTCTTGTCTTAATCTGAAGGTTTGACAAATATTTAATACACGAAACGGTTGCGTAACGCGGTAAAAATGTTACGATATTACCTAATATAAACATATAACTAGATAGCCTTAGAGAAATCGCAAGAAATGGTATTACGCAACGTTTTCTTATGTAATCTTTTTAAATTTTGTAATATTTGCCTCGGTGTAAAACGACCCAACAAATGACTGCGAGTGTTGGGATCTTGCTCTAAATTTCTACGAGGGGTTACGTTTTATCGGTCGTAACATATGAGTATACAAAACAAAATTTAACATTTTAAATTCTAAGCATAGTAAGTTGAAGTGTAATGTGCCTGAGCCTACAGCGTCCAAACCAACTAAGCCTACGGCAAATAAGCCTAATTCTACTAAAATTTATACCCACTAAACCTATCCTACTAAGCCTAACTCTGCTAAGCCTAAGCCTACTAAGCCTAAGCCCAACAAAGCCAAGTCTACTAAAACAAGGCCTACTTGACCTCAACCAATTAAGTCCAAAACCCAATCCAGCCCCTACAAGGCCTCCCCCGGCTAAGCTTTCATTTTCTAAGCAAGCCTACCAGAGTTAGCTTTAAAATAAAAATTTTATTTTTTCAAAAACTAGTACAAAAATTAAAATAATTAACCCAAAACCCTTCATTTCGTCATTTCCCCCCGTTTTTTCAATTTTTTAATTTCAAAACCGCAAAATTTTATTTGACCAAAAAGCGAACTGGTCATTCCATTGTGCGCTCAAGGGTCGCGTTTCCTTGCGGTCGGTCGAAGGGTTTAGACCAAAGAAATAGCCATGTTTTGAGCTCGAGATGCTCGATAAACAATGCGTGAGGTTATTCTAACAACAAGTGCAAATACAAAAGGCTTAAGGGGTCGACTACGTCATGAACAAAATCAGGAAGAAAGTTCTTGTCGTTTTTTGTTTTGTAAAGAAAGTTCTTGCCATTTTGCGTTTTGTAAAGAAAGTTCTTGCCATTTTTTATTTTGTAAAGAAAGTTCTCGCTATTTTAAGTTTTGTAAAAAAAGTTCTTGATATTTTTTATTTTGTAAAAAAAGTTATTGCTATTTTTTAACTTTGATAGAAAGTGTTTGCCCTTCAAGGTTTGTAAAGAAAGTTCTCGCTATTTTAAGTTTTGTAAAGAAAGTTCTTGTCATTTTTTGTCTTGTAGAGAAATTTCTTGCTATTTTTTAACTTTAACAGAAAGTGTTTGCCCTTTAAGGTTTGTAAAGAAAGTTTTTGCTATTTTTTATTGTGTAAAGAAATTTATTTTTATTTTAAATTTTGAAAAGATGTTTTTGCAATATAAAAATGTTTTTTTAAATCATGGATAATATCAGTTCGTATTTTACACACATTTATTGAAAAAACCACACCAATTTAAAGAAAATCAAAAAATTAAATTATAACAATTTAAAAAAACACTTTGTTATATGTTAAGCAGTAAAATATACATATGTAAAGCTGCGGACACATTATATATAATATATCAGAATGGAATCTCAAAAAGGTTAATAGACAAGTGTAATATCAAAATGTTTCGTAAAGAAAGTTTTTGTAAGAAGACGTAAACTTAAAAGTAAAATACGATCTGTTACATGTATTATTTTTTTTAAATTTTAAAATGATTCAAGCATTGGAATTTACGCTTTGTCGACGGGCTGGGCTATCATCACCATCGTGGAGCTTCTTGCGGGTCAAATAGCCTCTATAAATGATAAAGCTACAGTATAAACTATTACTAACTTTTAAAAATTAAACAATTTGTCCAAAAAGTAACAATGTACACTTTTAAAAGTTTATAAAGTGTACCATGTGTACCAATGGTACCATTAGTACCAATTGTAAAAAAGTTTAAAAAACCTTAAAAACAGTGTTTAACATAAAAAGGCATTTTATAATTTTTTTGTACCAACTGTACCAGTGGTACCATTAATACCAAATTTTAAAAAAATTGCAAAAATAATTTAAAAAATGTCTTTTTCTGGTCTTTTGCAAACACTAACCTACCCTAACTTTACTTACCCTACTCCACCCTATAATCTTAACAAAATTAGTGTCCTACTAGTACTAGTATTATCAAAAAAATGCTAACTTTTTATTAAATTTAAAAATTTATAAACATTTCTAACACCCACCGAACATGTGCTTGTATTTTAGTAGCAGCCTCTAAATTCTTTTGTTTCATAGCTTCAACATGTCTTCTGGCTAAATAGCCACGAATTTCGGCTTGAATTCGAGTGGCAGCTCGATCGTCAGGAGAGTTAGTCAACCCTTCCAACGTGTAGCCTCCGACAGAGTGTCTTCTAAAATTGTATTATTTTTGTAAAATACGGTCGAGTTTTTTCTTTGAAAAAATCAATTTTTAAACCTAAATTTCATTTTTTTTTATAAAAAAATTCAAATCATTAACAAAGCCCTCAAAACCCCAGATTAAAAGATAATTAGACCTACTTAAGGTCCTTCTTATTGTCAGCAGAATGTAATCGGTCAGTTGAGCTTCTACGTGTATAATCCATTGTGTCAATGCCGAACTTTTCCGGATGATTACGTACCTGAAAGAAGATTATATTGTTCACAATGTTTAATAAATATTTATATAGAAAGGACGGGTCAAAAAGTGCGTAGATAGAATATAAAAATACAAAAACTTAGGCTTCAGTTGAGTTTTAGGAACTAGCGTAGGCTTTAGGTTAGTCTTCAACTTAAGCTTTAGCTTAAATTTCAACTTGAACTTCACCTTAGGCTTCAGCTTAGGCTTCACCTTAAGCTTCAGCTTAGGCTTCAGCTTAGGCTTCAGCTTAGGCTTCAGCTTAGGCTTCAGCTTAAGCTTCAGCTTAGGCTTCCGTTTAGGCTTACGCGCAAGTTTAACAAAATTTGATTTTCGGTGTAAAATTAGTAATGTTGAGCTTGAAAAGGCTATATTAGTACTAATAGACGTACTAGGCATAACATTCTCTAAAAGTTTTGGCATTTTTTGCTTTGTAAAAGAAGTCTACAGCAAACCCTAAAAATCAAAAAAACTCTTAAAACTAAAAACCCACACCAACTATAAAAACGCAGCTTAAACCCGAGGTGTTATTGATAACCAAAATAGAAAAAGCCCAAATTTCCCAACCAAAAATGAAGAAATTTAAAATTCAAAAATTAATCCCAAATATTATACTAGTGATCAAACGCGCTTCAAACTAAAACCTTGTTTGTGCTCACCAAATAAAGCTTTGTTTTCAAGCTACAATGCAGTACATTAACACGAACTGTTAATTATTTACATTGAATTCGTAAAAACAGATTACAGCGAAATTCTACTGAGTAAAAGTGGAGATTAGGGCAATAGAAAAACGAATATTGTAGATAGTTGGAACGGCTAAACAAACTTAATCTCTAGTTAAATACCAATAAATTACCCTATCTGTAGCTCTGGCCTTACCCCTAGCCTTGGCCGTAGCCTTGGCCCTGGACCTGACATTGGTCCTAGCTCTAGGTCTAGGTCTAGCTCTAGCTCTAGCTCTAGCTCTAGCTCTAGCTCTAGCTCTAACTCTAGCTCTATCTCTAGCTTTAGATCTAGCTCTAACTCTAGCTCTAGCTCTAACCCTAACCTGAACCCTAGCCTTAGCCCTACCGTGCAAAATGAATAACTTACAAAATGTCCCCGATAAGCTGCCTGAATCTTGGTTGCAGCGGCCAATTCCGCTGGCGTAGACGGACGGCTGTTGTTAGATGAGCCAGGAGCCGACGGTTGTTGAATCTGCATCACGGTGGGGTGAGGAGCACGTTGAGTGGACGGGATTGAACCTTGTTTCGAATCGGAATTAGAATCGGGTTGGGAGAACGCCTTGGTTTTCAGAGGATTCTTTATGTTATTCTGGAGCGCTGAACGGAATGCGTAGTAAGCTTTTTCGTCTGTGATTACGTCACTTTTGTGTTCTGTAAAGAATGGCATTTATATTTGTATGGTGATTTATATATTTTACTTTGTAGAAGTATAAGAGATATCAAACAATAAGTGATAAAAAAAATCAGTCGAAGGGGTAAATTTAAGAAAGATGAGGGAGGGGAGGGGAGGAGTAAAGTAAAAAGAGGGAGGGGGACTAAACGCACAAAAATTTTAAAGCAGTCATTTTCAGACAAGTTTGTTACCCTACCCTCCCTAACATCGCCAACTCTTCCTTCTCCACCTCCTACTATCCACTCTCTCCCCCCCCTCACCCATCAAAACTAAAATCACGCGCCCGTATCTCTATATAACTTTAAAATCACCAAATTTTCTATTTATACCAACCACTCATTTATAAAGACTTAAACTTGCCATCCTCACCAACCTATAACAATACGCTTAAGTCACAGTAAAAGCCCAAGATGAACGTAGAAGCCAAGAGTACGAGTACTTTTGATACTCGCAAAACAAGTTAAGCCTCGTCGCCTTCACGATGACTTTTGAAGAGCGGGAGGGGGAGGAATATAAAGACTGTGGGTATGAGAAAAGCGGAAGTGTTAAAGATAATACTCGAAATAACCCAAAATATTCCATGAGCAACTATTTTTAAAACTTTTGGTTTGGAGTGACAGATATGATGTTTTTGAAATTCATGACTTAAGCTTAGGAATTATATAAATGAAGTTTAGGTTTAACTTCAGGCTTTGATTTGCTTGTTTTTATTTTTCAGCTGAATCTTAAGCCTAAACTTAGTCTGAAGCTTACACTTGAACTTAGGCTGAAGCTTAGGTTTAGGCTTAGGTTTAGGCTTAGGTTTAAGTTTGGGTTTAAGCTTAAACTTAGGCTTTGGCGTAAGTTTAGCCTTAGACTTAGGTTTAGGCTTAGGCCCAGACTCAGGCTCAGCTTCAGGCTTAGGCTTAGGCTTAGGTTTAGGCTCTGGCTCAGGCTCAGGCTCAGGCTCAGGCTCAAGCTCAGGCTTAGGCTCAGGCTCAGGCTCAAGCTCAAGCTCAAGCTCAGGCTCAGGGTCAGGCTCAGGCTCAGGCTCAGACTCAGGCTCAGGCTCATACTCATGCTTAATGTCATGCTCATGCTCACAAGTAGGTGCAGACTCAAGCTCAGATGCAGGCTCAGACTAATGCTCATGCTTAGGTTCAGGCTTAAGCTTAGGCTTAAACGTCAAATTTTAACTTAAGCTTAATCTTACACTTAAGCTGGAGCAACACAAGCTTTAGACGCATAACAGTGCTTACAAAATTTTAAAGTACATTAAGATTCTAAAAAAGGTAAGAATTTGTGAGTATCACACAATCAGAACTATCTACCGATTATAATTTGACCCTAAACTTTTCTCAAATTTCATAGAAAAAACTTAAAATACCCTTATTAAAAAGACCTTCGTACTTCCTATCTCCCATCCTGCTTCTCACCCCACTCCCTTCCGTATAAAAGCAACTTCCAACTAAAATAATATTAAAGAAACCTCAAAAAGCAGCCTTTTCTTTCCATAACAACATGTTTCCATAAATATGACAACTAATCAAATCTTTTCAACATTTGAAAGAACAAATTGCGGCAAAAGCATTTCTTCTTTGTTTGAATGAATAATCAATTACAAGATTTTGAAGCGTGATTTAAGTGAAATATTAGTCATCACATCATAACAACAATAAAAATTTTTTGTTTTTGAATTTTAAAAATGAAATCTACCCTACCCTACCCTACCCTACCCTACCCTACCCTACCCTACCCTACCCTACCCTACCCTACCCTACCCTACCCTACCCTACCCTACCCTACCCTACCCTACCCTACCCTACCCTACCCTACTCTACCCTACCCTACCCTACCCTACCCTATCCTACCCTACCCTACCCTACCCTACCCTACCCTACTCTACCCTACCCTACCCTACCCTACCCTACCCTACCCTATCCTACCCTACCCTACTCTACCCTACCCTACCCTACCCTACCCTACCCTACCCTACCATAACCCTACCCTACTCTACCCTACCTTACTCTAACCTACTTTAACCTACTCTACCCTACCCTACCCTATCCTACCCTATCCTACCCTACTCTACCCTACCTTACTCTAACCTACTTTAACCTACTCTACCCTACCCTACCCTATCCTACCCTACCCTACCCTACCCTACCCTACCCTACCCTACCCTACCCTACCCTACCCTACCATAACCCTACCCTACTCTACCCTACCTTACTCTAACCTACTTTAACCTACCCTACCCTACCCTACCCTACCCTACCCTACCCTACCCTACCCTACCCTACCCTACCCTACCCTACCCTACCCTACCCTACCCTACCCTACCCTACCCTACCCTACCCTACCCTACCCTACCCTACTCTACCCTACCCCTACCCTACTCCCCTACTCCCCTACCCTACTCTACCCTACCCTCCCCTACCCTCCCCTACTCTACCCTCCCCTACCTTACTCTAACCTACTTTAACCTACTCTACCCTACCCTACCCTACCCTACCCTACCCCTACCCTACCCTACCCTACCCTACCCTACCCTACCCTACCCTACCCTACCCTATCCTACCCTACCCTACTCTACCCTACCCTACCCTACCCTACCCTACCCTACCCTACCCTACCATAACCCTACCCTACTCTACCCTACCTTACTCTAACCTACTTTAACCTACTCTACCCTACCCTACCCTATCCTACCCTATCCTACCCTACTCTACCCTACCTTACTCTAACCTACTTTAACCTACTCTACCCTACCCTACCCTATCCTACCCTATCCTACCCTACTCTACCCTACCTTACTCTAACCTACTTTAACCTACTCTACCCTACCCTACCCTACCCTACCCTATCCTACCCTATCCTACCCTATCTTACATTACACTATCCTAACGGGCCGGGCCGGACCGGCTTGCCAGTTCTTCATGTCTATACTTAACACTGTCTGAAGATTTATCTTGCCACGCCCTACACTTAAAAACGACCTACCTAACCCTTCCACAAATCAACCCACACCCAACTCTTTTTCTTACTATTTCATGCCTTGCCCTAACAAAAGATTGTGTTTATCGTATCACCCAACCACTTATAACTATATAATATACCTTTCCCCTAACCACGGCTTAGTTAAAAATTTACCAATTGGGCATCTTCACACTTCCTCTCCCCTCTAACTTAATACGAGATTAATCTCTCATTAGCCATGCTCGTTTATCAACCAAAAATAGATATGATAACACATTTCATAAAAACGCATTTTTGGAAGTTTTCTCGAAACTTTTCACACATAAAATACGTAAAAGTGGTGTTCTGGAATGTTCAATTGTTGTAATATTACTAAGTGGATTAACAGAGGTTTTGTGTTAAAAAGACAGGATTGTACTGCCCGAGAGTATATTGGTGTTGAACCAATAGAGATTAGTTTGTAAAAAAACTTCTTGCCGTTTTTTGTTTTGTAATGAAAGTTCATGCCGTTTTTTGTTTTGTAAAGAAAGTTCTTGCCATTTATGTTTTGTAAAGAAAGTTATTGCCATTTTTTGCTTTGTAAAGAAAGTTCTTGCCAGTTTTGTTTTGTAAAGAAAGTTCTTGCCATTTATGTTTTGTAAAGAAAGTTCTTGCCATTTATGTTTTGTAAAGAAAGTTCTTGCCATTTTATGTTTTGTAAAGAAAGTTCTTGCCATAAATTTTTTTTGCTTTTAAACTGTAAAAAAGCTAAAATACGGCCGTAAAAACAAAAAGCAGGGCCAAAACCCACAAAACACAAGAAAGAATAACATCAACTACAACGTGTAGTATTCCGTGACAATAAAAACGCACTAAAAATATCGACCAATTAAGTATAAACCAAGAGGGTGTAATATTTTTAATTCTACCAACTTAGCTTTATTAAAAAATATTTGTAAGTTTGACTAAAACCTTTAAGTCTTTTTAGGCTTAGGCTTAAGCTTAGGATTCGGCTTAGGCTTAAACTTAGGCTTAGGCTTAAGCTTAAACTTAGGCTTAGGCTTAGGCTAAGGCTAAGGCTTAGGCTTACACTGAGGCTTACACTTAGGCTTAATCTTAAGCTTAGACTCAGCCTTACCGCTAGCTTTAGCCTTAGTGTTACCGTTAGCGTTTGCCTAAGCTTTTCTTACTTCATTTTTACTGCATTTTGCCTTATTCTACATTAGCCCTACCTCAGCATAACACGTCTAGCTTAAGTCTCAACTTAAACCTGGCGTTTAATCTACGCCTATTTTTACTTTATAAAGTATTATAACTATTAACCCAGCCCTTCAAATCAAGTATGAGTAAAGCCAGGAAAAGCAAACATGATGTTATGCATCGCTTTTGACGTGCCCTTAATGTTTCCGAAAGTTTTTATTGCTTGCAATTGAGTTAACTCAACTTTAAAAGCGGCATATAATAAGCTCGAGGAAGTGTCGTATATGTTCGGGAAACGTTATTATAATAGTCAAGCTATTGAGTTTGATAACATATAAAGTTAGCCTTTGGCCGGACTAACAAGAACTGTGTTTACAAAACAAAAAATGGCAAGAACTTTCTTTACAAAACAAAAAATGGCAAGAGCTTTCTTTACAAAACAAAAAATTACAAAAAGCTTTCTTTACAAATCAAAAAATGACAAAATCTTTCTTTACAAAACACAAAATTACAAAAAACTTTCTTTACAAAAGTCATTTTTAGTCCGTATTCATGTAAAAACAAGTTTTTATGCCTTTAAAATCTTAAAAGCCATCAAGGTGTAAACGTTAATATAGACACTGGTGTAAAGAAGTGAACGTGCACCAGCCAAATAATTAAAAATTGAGGGTGGGCTCGGATTAGAAATTGAGAAATTTAAAAAAGAAATTAATTTTTCATCAAATCTTACACTTTTAGAAAGTAAGGTTATGTTTACAACTATTCTATCGCAACAAGTGCACATATAGTATTAGAAAAAAGCAGGTGCTAGGACTAAGACTAGGGCGGAGGCTGAAGACAAGGTTAAGCTAGAATAGAGCTAGAGTAAGGCTATAAAAAGCGTGTGACAATAAGCCAAAAATATAGCTGAAAAAGGACCATAAAAGGTTTTGATAAGCCTGTGAAGATAAGCCAAGAATATGGCTGAAAAAAGCCCTAATAAGGCTATGATTAGCCTATACTTAACTTAAAGCTTTGAGCTAACATGAAACTATAGATGAAAGTAACACACAGCGTCTTGTATTACATAGCTATGGCTACAATAAAATCTACTTATTACTACGTATAGTTATAGTACGGTAGGGTAAAATTAAACTAAAAATCCCTGAACATGGTTCAAAGATTAACCTAGTCTAACGTATGTAAGTCGCGTTAATATGTTTTATAGACCGTAATTAACAATTCTAAATTTAAACATAATTCATGGTCAATGAAGCTTTAAACATATTTGTTTAAAAATGAATTTTTAAAAATTTTTTGTGACATTTTGTAGGCAATTTTTTTACTATTGGTTGTTCAAAAACTCCTGAGCTTCTTCTCAAAGCAAATTTGCAAGGTTAGGTAGCTCAGAATTATTTGAAACACCTAACATGTTGTTTGTAGTTTTCTTTATTTAGCATTGGGCGAAATAAAAGGTAGAGTAGAGCTAGAGTAGGGGTTAGGGCATGGTAAGGCTACTGTCAAGAAAGGCATCTTTTACTCATCCCCTAGCCATAATACAGTACATACAAGGTGCGCCAAAAGTTCTGTTACAAAACTTTACCGGTCGCTTTCTCTATGTTGCGGTTAAATTATTTAAAACTTTTTAATTTAGCTTATTCTCCGTGTTTTTTATTGTATAATCATAAAAGTTAAGTCTTCATTGTCTTCCGTCTGTCTGTATTTAGATGTCAAACATATTTAATTAAAAATCTGTATAACAGAACTTTTGGCGCGCCCTGTACATTTGTACAATCCACATAACCTACCTTTCTGAATATCAGCCAAAGTGTCGAAGAACAACCGCCCAAACTGAACCAAATCGCCGGGTTGATTGCGGAGCGTTTCGCGCGTAAACGACTCCAGAAGCGGCCTCAAATTGGACGGAACTTTGTATTTGGTAGAGTCCGTCATTTTGGCGTTTTGGGCCGAAGTTTCGCGAAAGCTGTAAGAGTCATAAATTATTGAACAACCAACCAATTTCTCATAGATTCAAGCCCAAATTGCAAATGAACACGTCCGCATTACAAATCCTGTTTTCAGGTTTTTAAAAGCGGAAGCCGCGGAAATTGATAAACGATTCAGATTTATGAAGAAATTGTCATAACAATGAGGTGCATATTGTCATACATATGTTAATATAAAAAGCTGGAAGTTGTTAAGGGTAAAAGAGCATCGTAGAGAGCAGCGTATAAAAGGGTGCAAACAATGGTAATAATAAGCCAGAGGAGGTAAGACAGAGGCAAGGTAGGGAACGACATAGTAAGCTAAAGTAAGATAGGGTGGATCATGGTAGGGGTAAAACAAATACGGTATACCACAATAGGATCAGATAGGGCACAGTAGAATAGAGCAAAGTAAATCATTTACAGGTAAGACATGGCGAGGGTAAAATACTGCAAAGCACAATGAGGTAAGATAGGGCAGAGCAGGGTAAGGTAAAGTAGAGTAAGGTAGAGTAAGGTAGGGTAAGGTGCGGCATGATAAAGTTGAGCGAATTATGATAGAGTAGGATAGGGTAGGATAAGGTAGGGTAGGGTAGGGTAGGGTAGGGTAGGGTAGGGTAATGTAGGGTAGGGTAGGGTAGGATAGGGTAGTAAACATTTTAAATCCTTAACCGCCCCCCCCCGGTTTTTAGTTTAAAAGTACCCAGAACTAATGTTTACCTCCGCCCGCCCGACCGTTTTGTCTTATTCAGTAGCAAAAAACGAAGCATTAAACTTGCATCGGAAATTGTATTAAGCGTAAATTCGTCGAAAATAGTATTACCTAACAAGTATCGAATGAAAAAACAACGTTACGACAAATTGAAAAAAAGAAAATTTAAAAAGTTTTCGAATTGAGAAAAGATGTTGCAAATTGATGGTGTTTGAACAGTTTAGGTAACAAAATTTTAAATTTTTTAAAAAGTTGAGTTAGAAAATAAAGTTCTTATGTTTTCTTGTTTTGTAAAGAAGGTTCTTGCTATTTTTTGTTTTGTAAAGACAGTTCTTGCCAGTTTTTGCTTTGTAAAGAAAGTTCTTGCCCGTTTTCAAAGTTTAGGTAATAAACACACAATAATAAGACATAAAAGTAAAAAAAGTCCAAAATTTACACTTTCAAGTTATTGGCTCAATATGTTTACACGCCCGGCGTAGCAATTTAAAGAGCAAAACTCAACTTAACACAACTTAATTTAATTTTTTTTGGAAATGAAGTGTCATTTACAACATATTTTTGATAAATGGCAAAAACTTTCTTTACAATACATAAGATTTTGATAACTTTTTTTACAGAACATAAATAGCAAAAGCGTTCTTTACAAAGCAAAATATGGCAAGAACTTTCTTTACAGAACTAAAAATGGCAAGAACTTTTTTTACGGAACTAAAAATGGCAAGAACTTTCTTTACAAAACAAAAAACGGCAAGAACTTTCTTTAAAAGGCATAAAATGGCAAGAACTTTCTTTACAAAACAAACAATAGCAAGAACTTTCTTTACAGAATTTAAAATAGCAAGAACTTTGTTTACAAAGCATAAAATGACAAGAACTTTCTTTACAGTACAAAAAATGGCAAGAACTTTCTTTACAAGCCTTGAAATAGTAAAAACTTTCCTTAAGTAAACAAAAAACGGTAAAAACTTTCTTTACAAAATTTTTCAATAAGCCAAGATGTTGCCAAACCTTATTATACTAAAGACCAACTCAAAACATTACTCGAAAACCCGAACAAAAAGTATGCAAGGAGCTTATGAAAAATAAAGCCGGCTAAGTAAATACCCACTCTTCTCAAAGCCAAATCATCCAGAAAATTGTCCAAACAATTACTTTTTGGGTGGGTTCAAACAAAAATGCCTATTTTTGCGAGGTTTTGAACAATTTTAATAAATTTTTAAAAAGTTTGAAGTTAAAAAAGTTTTTGCAAAGTTTAAATTTTCAATTTTTAATTTTTAAATTTTAAGCTTAATTTTAGTTTAATCTGCCCTGACACAAGCCCTACCCCAAAGCAATAGTCTTAGCTTTAGATCTAGCATTAACCTAACCCTTCTTTCTCTTAGACTTGGTTTCCCTAACCTTAACGCTAGTCTTAGCTCCAAGTCTAGCTCTAGCTCTAACTCTAACTCTAGTCCTAGCCCTAGTCATTCTAGCCCTCTAGCCTTTTTTCTAGATCTAGCTCTAGTCTAGTCTTATATTTGCATAAACCTAATGTCAATACTTTTGCCAATTCTAGACCAACCCATCTATTTTCACCCCAAGCTTAGTACTGAACTCATATTACCCTAGCATCACCCTGCTGACAAAAACTAAAAAAACCAAAAAACCCAACATATTAGTAAAATATAACAAACAAACCAATTTTGTTGAAAAGAAAACATTTTTGCGTTTATAAATTCACGTGCCCTCAAGGCATTTATCCCATAAACGGCCTCAAAAACGAAGAAAAAGCTTAACGCAGCAACTTGAGCTCACATCCGCTGGAATTGGACACTCCAAACATACATAAGACAATTAACCACAATTAAGTTTGCAGGGATTAACTGATTTTAAATATTTTAAAATATTTTTTTAACTTAAGAATGAAAATTTATTAAATTAAGCCTAAAACGAATTTTAAAACTCAAGAAGTAAATTTAAGCCTAAGGAAGTATAATGTTCTAAATTTAAGTCTAAAAAAGTATAATATAATAAATTTAAGTCTAAAGAAGTATAATGTTCTAAATTTAAGCCTAAAAAAGTATAATATAATAAATTTAAGTCTAAAGAAGTATAATGTTCTAAATTTAAGCCTAAAAAAGTATAATATAATAAATTTAAGTCTAAAGAAGTATAATGTTCTAAATTTAAGCCTAAAAAAGTATAATATAATAAATTTAAGTCTAAAGAAGTATAATGTTCTAAATTTAAGCCTAAAAAAGTATAATATAATAAATTTAAGCCTAAAGAACTATAATGTTCTAAATTTAAGCCTAAAAACGTAAAATATCAGAAATTTAAGCCTAAAAAGTATAATATAATAAATTTAAGTCTAAAGAAGTATAATGTTCTAAATTTAAGCCTAAAAAAGTATAATATAATAAATTTAAGTCTAAAGAAGTATAATGTTCTAAATTTAAGCCTAAAAAAGTATAATATAATAAATTTAAGCCTAAGGAAGTATAATGTTTTAAATTTAAGCCTAAAAAAGTATAATATCAGAAAATTAAGTCTAAAAAGTATAATATAATAAATTTAAGTCTAAAGAAGTATAATGTTATAACTTTAAGCCTAAGTTAGGTTAACTCCACAAAACCTATTAATAACCTTAATTTTCTTGTTATAATGCCATTTAGTACCAAACCGAGTTAAGCTGTCTCTTTTAATTGCGTGATAATCGTTTTGTCAATACCGCTTACTCGACCGGATTTGTGTAAAAATGTGTACAATTTCGAAATTTCAATTTTTTGTTATTTTTTTAGTTACCAGCTACGAAAAAAACTAATTAACAGTACTTGAAGGGTATGAGTATGTAGGTAAACATAGTAATTACACGAAATATCTAATTGTGAGGTCAAATTCAAGGTTGAGGCTGAGGCTACAAGCTACGTGTTCAAGCTGGACATAGAGATTAGGCCAGGCCGGGTCGACTTCTCAGGCCCAACTTTTGGGCAGGTTTGTATTTGGGCTCGACCCGATTTCAATTTCACTCAAGCCCGGCCCAACCAAAGAATCATTAGGTCCGGCTTGACTTGCTTTAAGGAAATTCTTAGGCCCGGCCCCAATAGGTATAAATTTTTTTAATCCCAGCCTGTTCCTGGTGTCTACTCTGGCATAGAACACTAGGCTAGGGTTCTGGAGTAGGGTTCTGGGCTAGGGCTCTGAAACTAGGGCCCTAGGACTAGGGCTCTGGGCCTAGGGCTGTGGGCTAGAGCTCTGAGCTAGGGCTCTGAGCTAGGGCGCTGAGCTAGGGCTTTGGACTAGAATAACATTAAAAAATAGAAGCTAAAAAAATTAACAAACGGCTATTTTAATAGTATTTATTACTATTTATATCAAAATAATCGACCTTTTCTCTAAAGCTCGGTCTTCTTTTTGCTGTCGGCCTTTGATGTTTTGGCCTTTTTCTCGGCTTCTTTTTTGGCCTTCTTCGCGTGTGGACACTCGCCTTCCTGAAAATTGTGCCAGATTAAAAAAAGAAATTATACAGGAAAAGGAATAGTAATGAAGACATATATTTGTTTGTTTTTACATTCTTTTAGCTTAAAAATCTTGGTTTAACAAACTTACATTTTCTTTGTTCTCTTCTACCTTCTTTTCTTTCTTGCCTTTTGGTTTTTCTTCTGATTTCACTTCACCATCCTTCTTTGTTTCTTTCTTTTCTACTTTCTTGTCCTTCTTTTCCGTTTCCTTCTTTTCAGCCTTCTCTTCCACCTTCTTTTCTTCTTCCTTTTCTACTTTTTCTTCTTTTTCAACTGGCTTCTCTTCAGTGGCCTTGACTTTCTTAGCCTTCTTTGGTGCAGCTTTCTTGGTTTTCTTTTCTTCTACTTCTTCTCCGGCGTACAATTTCAAAGCCTTCTTCATGGCCTTAATCATGTCTGGTACTACTGGGAAGTAGTAGGCGTTCTTGGGGTAGTTCTTCTTGTTGTCTACGGCCATTGGGTTGCCTTCTTTGTCTGAAAATTTTAAATTTTAATTTGAAAATTTAAATTTTTTTAAAATTTTTTCAAATTTTATTTTGTCATACCCTACCCTACTCTACCCTACCCCACCCTACCCTACCCTACCCTACCCTACCCTACCCTACCCTACCCTATCCTACCCTACTCTACCCTACCATACTGGCACTACCTTACACTACTTTAAAGTAAAAAAATAAACATGTCATACCTAAAAAGTACAACCTAGGGATATAACGGCCATCTGGAGCGTATTTGTCGTCTTCAGGTTCATCATCATCTTCAACATTAACCATGACGAACTTCTGCGACAGTTCAACAAGTTGTTCGCGTTTTGATGAGGACAAGAAGCTTTCTTTTAACCCTAAAAGCCAAAAAAATTAAAAGTTTATTTTTTTACTGTGCAGTAAGTCTTAAAAGAATGTTGAAAAGTTCTAAAAACTTACGTTTGCAAGCTCCACACCAAGTTTTGTGGATCAACAAGAATGTTGGTTTGTTTTGTTGCTTGGACAATTCAATAGCATCGTCCCATTTTACCCAGTCAATGTCGTTTCCAAAGCCTAACGGGTAATGATTTAGACACTTAGAATATTAAAACGTTTGCCAATATATCTGCTTAATATACATAGTACTGTAGCTCATTTGAAACTAAAAAAATAAACCCTAAAAAATTTTTGGTGCTAAGCACTAGGGCTTAAAGTGCCAAGTACTAGAGCTTAAAGTGCTAAGTACTAGTGCTAGGTACTGTACTTAGGTATTAAAGTTGACCCCCTACTACCAGGAATTGTCAAACTGTTGTCATTGTAAAGGGAATGTCACGCTAAAAAAGGTGATACTAAATAGGTTTTGAGTGTTACGTAATAGTACTAGTACTGTACTTATTAAGAGGGAATCACAACCTAAATCACTATGTTAAAAAGGCTTTACTGTACTACGTAGTATCTAACTCTAGCTCTAAACCTTGCTCTAGCTCTAGCCTTAGCTCTAGCTCTATGAAGTACTGTACTAATAAAATAGGTACTTTTTAAAATTTAAAAAAAGTAGTAAGACGTACTACGCAGTACTAGTACTGTACTAGTACGAAATCTTTAAATTTGAAAGTAAAATGACGTATATAGTTACATACCGTTAGAATAATCAGCAACAGCCTCTTCTTCTTCGCCTTCACCTTCAGTTTCTTCTACTTCTTCGGCAGCTTCCACATCTTCTTCAGCTCTAACATATACTAAAGAGATGGTCAACAATAACAACAGGTAATACAACTTCATTCTTGAGCTTTATCAGCGTGTAATCTGAATTGACCAGTTATTAGAAAACGATCAATGATAAGTAATTCACCAATAGCTAGCAAACGAATCAAACAATGATACTCAAACCAAACTGACCGGTAGCTTTAAAACGAATAAAAATGTTTTAAAACGTTAAAATTGACCAATTTTTAAAAATCCGACCAGTCCTTACAAATCAAATTACCAAATAATAAGCAAACTCACCCAAGAATTGAATCAAACTGACCCGCAAAATCAACTGTGTGTTGTTCGAAATGGGTCAAGCACCGACGTGGCGCATCTGCTTCAAGGTCGCGACACCGAAACAAACGACAAAAAAGTGCTTGCGGCAATATAAGGCACTATAACTATTAGACGACAAGAATTCTATTATTTAAGGCAAAAGATAGTTTGTATTGAAGAAAAAACCAATTTTTCATTTTGCACCAAGAGAGAAACGAAAAAAGGTTTATCAGTTTTGGCGATTGTTCGATAACGATCAAACTGTCCATCCACCCTCATCGAAGGAAGTGATGTTATCATTGCTTTTTGATGTGACAGATTTGCTAATAGAAGTTTTTTAAAATTTTTAGGTAAAAATTCGAAAAAAAAAAATTAAATGTAACTTTAAGCAATAAAAATTACAACTAAAGATAAACTACAGTTATCAAACTTTAAAATTTTTGAACTGGGCCTTAGCTTTAGATGCGACTTATGCTCTTAAAACGTTCAAAAACAGTGCGGGAGCTGAAGCCGGAGATGAAGCAGAACCTAGAGCCGTAGTTAAAGCTAAAGTCAAAGCTGAAGCTAGAGCTCTAACCGAAGCCAGAGCTAAAGCCAGAGCTGAAGCCGGAGCTAGAGCCAAAGCTGTAACCGGAGCTAGAGCCGAAGCTAGAGCCAAAGCTGAGGCTAGAGCTGAAGCCAAGGCTGAGGCCAGAGCTGAAGCCGGAGCTATATCCGGAGTTAGAGCCGAAACCGGAGCTAGAGCCGGAACCGGAGGCAAAGCCAGAGTTGAAGACAGAGCTAACGCCAGAGCTGAAGCTATAGAAGCCGAATATACAGCTAGAGTCGTACCAAGGCTAACGCTGTGTCAAAGCAGAAGCCGTGTCGGAGCCGTAGCAAAGCCGTTGTGGCACTGTAGCCGCGTCGGTGTTGTGCTTCAGCCAGAGTGGTGCCGGCTCCAGTAGCCTCTATTACTAAAAATTGAGATTTTCTGAATCAGGCTATAAATCCGAGTTTCAATTCTTTCAAAATCACGCTTTGGTTTGTTCACTGACTTCAGTTCCAAGATCGGCTCCGGAGCCTTTAAGAACTCTGGTAAGTTGTGTGATAAACCATTTAAAATTTACAAAAATTTTAAATATTTATTCGTAACAAGTTAATACCTTTAACAATCAAAAGTTTTCACGTCTGATTAAAATTATCGTTAGAAGCAGAAGTCGAAGCAACAGTAATCCTCATTTTGCTAGCTACTACAAACTTATAAACCGCCCTCCGAAACGGTACTATAATATAAATGGTTGAAATTGCATTACAAACAGGTAACCAGCCTAAAAACAACAGTCCTACGCCAAGCAGTAGTCCAGTATTAAGTTTGAAAAACGATGGTATGATGACTAACATGACTGGTGCCACAGATATGCACATTATGATCAGCGCTTGACATGCTAGGTACGTGCTCATTTGTTTTTGAATCTTTTTAGTTTTTAAGGTGTGGGCATGTTGTTGTCGTTTCAGCGTTTTCATGGTAAAGTAGCTGATTATGATTAGTAGAAAGTAGGATAGAGCAAAAAGTACGGCGGTTGAGCCAAAGTATACTCGTTGGTATATCGATTTCTAAAGTTTTAAAAGTTAATTTTTTAAGCACCCTACCCTACCCTACCCTACCTTACCCTACCCTACCTACTCCAAAATTCCACCTTTCCTATCTACTACAGTCAGCTCTACCAAAAAAGATTACCCTTCCCTCTCTATACCAATATACTCCATAGTTCAGTCCAGGTTCCACTTTGGCTGATTTATCGTAACTTAGATACGATGCGCTGCCTGGTATCAACGCAAATATCATTGCAATAATAAACATTGCAATTGTTTGAAATGGGTTTAAAGGTTTTGAACTGGAAACAGCAATATAATATACTGTATGTATGTGTATTAGTATGTGTATGTGTATATGTGTATGTGTATGTGTATGTGTATGTGTATGTGTATGTGTATGTGTATGTGTATGTGTATGTGTATGTGTATGTGTATGTGTATGTGTATGTGTATGTGTATGTGTATGTGTATGTGTATGTGTATGTGTATGTGTATGTGTATGTGTATGTGTATATGTGTATGTGTATATGTGTATGTGTATGTATATGTGTATGTGTATGTGTATGTGTATGTGTATGTGTATGTGTATGTGTATGTGTATGTGTATATGTGTATGTGTATGTGTATGTGTATGTGTATGTGTATGTGTATGTGTATGTGTATGTGTATGTGTATGTGTATGTGTATGTGTATGTGTATGTGTATATGTGTATGTGTATGTGTATATGTGTATGTGTATGTATATGTGTATGTGTATGTATATGTGTATGTGTATGTGTATGTGTATGTGTATGTGTATGTATTTAAAAAAAAGACTTACTGAGTCAAAGCATAGTACCGAAAGTAGGCTTGTGCTGGTAAAGCCGTCATTGATAAGCAAGCCGTCGTGATATAGCCAGCTACACCAATAATATGAGCTGTTCGGCTAAAGTAGCTCAATGGACCTTCGATTTTAACGAACACTATGTCTTCGTACTGTTTTCCTTTCTAAAAACATCGTAGTCTCAACCAACGTATTTTACTTTCCTTAATATTTATTAACTCAACATAAACCTAAGCCTAAACAAAACCTAAAATTAAGCCTATAACTAAGCCAAAGACAAGCCCTTACAATTTCGACCAATCCATCAGCTAGCCAAAACAAGAAGTCAGTAGCAGCACACATAAACAGGTTAGTAGAGTCAAAGTTGCTATACCACCAATGACAACACACAAAAAGTAATTAAAGCGAAAAAGCCGGGATATAAAGCCAAGTTCATCATAAGGTGCGGTTGGAAAAGTGCCATTGATCGTAAAGTCCCAGACATAGGGGTTACGGTCGTATGGGAGGGGGTGGATCTCCATCATCTGAAAAATATAAATCTGAACACAATTGAAGTAAAAATATAATATATATAATAGATAATACTAACGCGGGTAACGCAGTGGTTGCGGCGCCAATTGCTATTCGGAAGGACCTTGGTTCGACCCCCGCCTCCGCCGAACCCAGGCGCATTAAGGAATGGGTACTGCTGAGAGCACGGGGATTAGGCCATCAACATTGGCCAACACAGGTGTATAATAGACAAGCCAAAAATCCTATGGAGCATCTCACCAGTGATTCGGTAAACTCAACCAGTGATCCGGTTAACAATAAAAACTGGGGGGAGGTCCAATTATGGGAAACATCATAAACCAAGTATAGCTCCGGTAGACGAAAAGAAGAAGACTAGATCAATCCAGGAACATACACGCAGTACTAGATTGCAATCGTTGGCATTAACAACATGTAATCTAACCTATATCTACATTCCACCGACCATAAATTGGAATTGATAGGTAAAGTACTTTACCAAAAACCAAGAGATATTTGATGCAATTCCCCATTAAGTAAAACCACACATTATAAAACACATACAGTATACTAAGATATTTTGAAAACGTGATTTTCTTTGAAACACTAAATGAATGTCAAGCCTAGACACTTAAATGTTTCAATTTTATATTAATATATAAGTCACGCAATGGGGCATTAAAATACCTTTTTTACGTTTCTTGGGTTGTCTGCCTACGTAAAAAATCTATATTTTAATAGAAAATGACTTACAGTAAAATTCGTGTTTAATAAATACGTTTATGACACAGGTTCTGCATAGCGGACTCCTCTATAACAAACTCCTCTATAACGAACTCCTGTATAACAAACCCTTGTATAAAGAACTCCTCTGTAAGAAAAACTCATGTATAACGACCTTCTCTACATATATTCAACTCTACTATTACAGACTCTCTTCTATTACAGACTACACTATAACGAACTCCTGCATAATAAACTTCTGTATAAAGAACTCCTGTATGACGAACTCCTGTATAACAACCTCCTGCATAACAACCTCCTGCATAACAAACTCCTGCATAACAAACTCCTGCGTAACAAACTCCTGTATAACAAACCACTTCACAACGACGTCTTCTATAAAAAACTCTTTTATAGCCAACTCTTCCATGTCGAGCAGCTTTCAAATTTTTATTTACTACAATATTATTATACAGGCATTTAAAACACCTATAACCCAACACACCTTAATAACAAAAAGATTTTTGTTATTAAGGTGTGTTGGGTTACCGAGCGAGTTGTTATGCAGAAGTTCCATCTAATTTATTTTACAAAGCAGAAAATAAACAAAACTTTCTTTACAAACTTTATAAATGTACAACATAAGTCTATAGAGCATACGTGGAAAATATTACACAATATTTAAATAAAAGTCATTTCAAATGAACCTCAATGTACCTCTTCAAGTTTCATTACCAAGAACAATAATTTTGTGCATTTAACCTTTAACTACAAAAATTAAATACAATTTATAAATTTATATCTTGTAGCATTTCCGACTTGCTATGGTAAAACATGTGATGTCTCAGTTTTACGTCTGTTAGCTTGGCTAAATGTACATGTACCACTTTGTAACACGCAACATGTTACAACAAATGATGATTAAAATTTTATTTATATAATAATTTTGAAACTCACTTCATTGAATTTAACATTTAGTTTAACATTCCAAGTACTCAAAATTAAAAGGGCAAACAATTGAGTTTTTAAACCACTTCCTAGTAATGTAAGTCTAAAAAGCTTGAACCTACTGATAAGTAATGTAACGCGGGTTTTAGAACGATGCCTATATAAGATGGAAGAGTATAAAAAGTTAGAACAGCAAAAACGTGCTTGAAACACAATGCCAAATGTGCTAAATTGCCCAAAAAACTTAAATCTTAAAATTTTAAAATTTAAAAACGTGAGTTAAAATTTGTATAGGCACTAAAGGTAATATAATGAATTCATATATAATAATAATTGTCAACTGATTCTAACATACGTGTTACAGATGGGGTGGGGTAGTTCCTTTTAGTATACCGTATGAATATAAACAAATTTTAACTTCTTCCTTTACCAAAATTGCTCACAATTGTCAGTTATATCAGGTTGATGTAAAAGTAGCGGGACACTTTCTTTATATTTCAACTAAAAAGAGCCGACAAAAAGAACCCGCCATTTTTTACAGGAAATTACAAGAAAAGTATGGCGGGTTCTTTATGTCGGCACTTAATATAAAGTGTCCCGCTACTTTTGGTTCAACCTAATAGTAAAAAATGTCATAAACAAACCCTTGTAATTTGTAAATTGTAATTCTTAAAACTATATGCACTTTTATATGTTCTTTTTGATACTTTTATGTTAGAACACACACGTAGTTGGTCCATTTTGACTTCATTTTCTTCATATAGCTTTTAATTTTATTCAGAAGCTCAAAAAACATCAATAAAACATCAAGAAAACATTTGCATTTTTATAATTTGCACACTTCACGTGAGTCGTGTACATACAAAATGAATTTTTAAGTACAATATATACATATACATATAGTATGTACATATATATGTAAACATGTTTTTGTATTTGTGTCTTACGTAATTGCCATTTTATGTTTTGTAAAGAAAGTTCTTGCCATTTTTTGTTTTGTAAAGAAAGTTCTTGCCATTTTGTTGAACACAAAACGAACAACAATACCCATTGGCTTAAAGTTTCATGGCCACAAGAAATCAAACAAAACAGCTTGGACAAACATTTTTTTGCTCGATTCGAGAGCAGTTTCTGAAGCCAGACTTGTGTGACAATTTAAGCTTTAATATACATAATACTCTTGAAGTTAGTACACAAAGTCTAACGAACATATGTTTTAAGTTGGGGTAGAGCTGAGTAGGGAAGGTTAGATAGAAGAGGTCAGGCCAAGAAAGGTAGGGTAGAATATAATAGGTTAAAGCAAGATAGAGTAGAGTATATCCTAGAACCTGATAGGGCAGGGCACAGTAAGGCCAGTAAAAAATCAAAGAAAGACCGCATGGCCGACCAAGGGCAGGGAAGCGCAAGGTACGAAAGGGTCGGGTAGGTTAGAGTAGGGTAGAGTAGGGCAGGGTAGGGTAGGTAGGGTAGGGTAGGGTAGGGTAGGGTAGGGTAGGGTAGGGTAGGGTAGGGTAGGGTAGGGTAGGGCGTATTTTTAAACAAAACTTCTTGAGATTTTAGTTTTTGTCATTACTAAACGTTCGTGCTCAACAACACTTGTACTCCAAACTCCTACTTTCAAGATTGTTCTTGCAAGTATTGGAGTAATATTTTGATAACTTGCAAAACAATTGCCTATGGGCTTCTTTTGTTTTCAATTAGCGACGCATAAAGAATAGGATTTCTACTTTGGAAAGTAATATTTTGCGTTATTCCACTCTCTAAAATTTGTTTTTTTGAGTATCTTGTGTATGAAAGTAAAATAGAATACAAAAAGTTTGTTAAAAAGATTTTTTTTGTTTATTTAAATATTTTTTTGAGGTACAGATAATTAAGGAGGTTGGAAGTTGAGTGGAAGATTTTCAGTGCAAAATACACTAAGAATCTTCCACTCAACCTCCACTTTTAAAAAGTGCCAAAAATGCATTTTTAGGTCGTTTTAATATTCATTTTGAAAATGGAGGTTTGGTAAAAGATTTTTAATGCAAAATACGCAACAAATCTTCCACTCAGCTTCGACTTTTTTATGTTTGATTTCTTAGAGTTTGTAACGAAAGTTCTTGCTATTTTTTGTTTTGTAAAGAAAGTTCTTGCCATTTTTTGTATTGTAAAGAAAGTTCTTGCCATTTTTTGTTTTGTAAAGAAAGGTCTTGCTATTTTTTGTTTTGTAAAGAAAGTTCTTGCCATTTTTTGTATTGTAAAGAAAGTTCTTGCCATTTTTTGTTTTGTAAAGAAAGGTCTTGCCATTTCAAACATTACCTTCTCTTAAATTTGCAACTTTTAACTTTTTTTGTTTTTTCGACTCAAAAATCAAAATTTCAACACTGATTTTTTCCATTTTTTTCGGTTTTTTCCTTCGGAATTTGGCCATCTGGAGGGTGAGGGAGTCTGGCAGGTGCTGTTCAATTTCCGGTCCGTTTCGAACGTCATGTGTGTTTGAAACCGCATGATTATTGAGCCTCGAATACCTGTCCTCGAGGGAGTATTTTTTCGAAAATATTGGAAATTTGAAATTTTTTTTTGTGAAGAAAGTTCTTGCCATTTTATGTTCTGTAACGAAGTTATTGCCATTTCTCGTTCTGTAAAGAATGTTTTTGCCATTTTTTGTTTTGTAAAGAAAGTTCTTGCAATCTTTTGGTTTGTAAAGAAAGTTCTTGCCATTTTTTGTTTTGTAAAGAAAGTTCTTGCTATTTTTTGCTCTGTAAAGAAAGTTCTTGTCATTTTTTATTTTGTAAAGAAATTTCTTGCCATTTCTTGTTCTGTAAAGAAAATTCTTGCAATTTTTTGTTTTTTAAAGAAAGTTATCGTTATCTCATACCTTGTAAAGAACGTTCTTGCAATTTCTCGTGTTGTAAAGAACGTTTTTGCTATTTTTTCCATTGTAAAGAAAGTTCTTGCCATTTTTTGTTTTGTAAAGAAAGTTCTTGCAATTTTTTAAAAATTTCTCAATAATTTTTTAATTCAAAACAAATTCATTACAACTCAAGTTCAATTTCACAAAAAATTTGTAAACAAAGTTTTTGCCGATCTTCGATCCCTTAATTTCCTCGCATTTTGATTCATTTTTTAATTTTCGAATTTTTTCGAGCGCCAATTTTTGCGACGGCGGTTCTGGAATGGGCTTAATGGCGGCCTTAAAGGGGACGAATGTCTAACGAGTGGTTTTTTGTTTTAACTAAAGTTTTTTTGAGTTTTTTGGTAATTATCGACATTTGTTTTTGGTTATTTGTTGAGAAATTGACCTTAGGGTAGGGCATGGTAAAGTAGGTAAAGCTCGGCGAGGGTGAGGATAGGGTAAAGTAGAGTGTTTTTTCAAAAAAATTAACTTTAGGGCAGGGTAGAATAATTGAAAGTAGAAGAGAGGAATGGGGGGAACGGGAAGAGGAGAGGTAGAATAAAGGCAGGGTAGGATAGAGGGGGAGAAAACATAACGTAATGTTGGATAAGGCCGGACAAAATGTAGGGTGAGGTAGTGCAAGGTAGGATAAAGTAGGGTAGGATAAGGCAAGGCAAGGCAAGGCAAGGCAAGGCAAAGGTCGAGTGATGAAAAGTAGGGTAAACTTATTTTTAGTCATTATTCGTGTACTTTTAATGATCAATATGTCGTAATTCCTTCCATTATACAATGTTGTTTTGTCCGCCGTTTGTAATATTCTCAGTTTTTGTGTCGCCGCATAGTTAGATGATCTCTATCTCTGCAAATTGTACTTTCGTCGCGGCCGCGGAGAAACAAAAACATTCCCAGCTTGGGCTTTTAATTGTTACAACGACCGACGTGTTTAGTCGGAATTAAGAAAAGCGGGGACAATCGGAAGGGGCCGAAGATGAAGTTTGCAAAAAATGTGGTTTGAATGGACTGTAAATTCAATTTTTGGCTTACCTACAACGTTTTTGCGTTTGGCTGTACATTTTTTTGTTTTTTTTACCAGTCGGTTTGGATTACGCTCAGCAGCTAAACCGGCCAGCTATACCAAGTTTTTAACCGGCTGCATTGGTCTTGTTTTCGCCGGCTAAACGTCCTTAGTACCAGCCGGATTAGGCAAAAGCATTACTAGCTGGCTTTGTATAGACTAAACCAGTAGTTTATACGCTGTGCTAGCCGACAACATTATTTTTCAACCGGTTGAATTTGCTTAGTACCAACCGGGCCAAACAAGTTCTAGCTTTTGCTTTAGTTCAGAGCCCTAGCCCAGCTCTTTAGCCCAGAGCCCTAGCCCAGAGCTCTAGCCCAGAGTCCTAGCCCAGCTCTTTAGCCCAGAGCTCTAGCCTAGAGCCCTAGCTTAGAGCCCTAGCTGAGATTTATAGCCTACATATTTAGTTCTAGCCTTAGCTTTACTATTACCATTACACCTTTGCAAGTTGTAAAATTTATTTATAGCACCTCCATTTACTTTATTGTACTCCAAATGACATACGCAGTGCTCACATAATTAGCCAATGATACTATGGTTACCAGTTGTTGACTATCGTATTGTTTACAACAATACCACATTTAAATGCGATGGTTTAACATTTGTTTTGTGATGTTTAGTGTCGCGACACTGACGTAAAAAGCCGGTCTTTGGTTGTGAAACGGTTTACATTAGCTTTATTGTTGTAGACTGGAAGGGTAGAGAGAGGGGGAGGAGAGGAGGGTTGACAGGAGAAAGATGGAGTTTACTAGGCCCGGCTTACCTTTGGCTGTGCCGAACTGGGTTGGGCCAAAGCAAATTCTAACATTGTCTAGTGCCCGAAAAATTGGGCCCGGTTCTTTTACAGGTTTACAGTGTTAACGATGTTATACTCGATGATTACTATTTGAAAACTGATCCAGAAGAGACGTGTGGGTACAATTAAAAATAGAGTTTGTAAAAAGAATTTTTTGTGAAAAAGTCCGTCATAATACATTTTTTTTTAATTTTAGGTAACATAATTACTAATTATTAGGTGCCGACATAAAGAACCCGCCATACTTTTTCTGTAACATCCTGTAAAAAATGGCGGGTTGTCTATGTCGGCACCTAATATTTCAAAATGAAAAACTGTTTCTAACGTTATACTGTAAAATGACTCATTTATACTATTGTGTATACTATTTGAAGAATAATGCAGTCATCGCCATCAAATATTGTCACTTTGTGACTTGAAACACTACAGTTTTTTCGTTATTAGTCATACTTGTTTATACTGTATTAAAAAGTTAAAAAAATTTAATTTTTTCCTGCTCTACTTTACCCTACTCATTATACCTAACTCTGTCTTACCCTAATCTACCCTATACCCTACCCCCCCCATCTTACCCTATCCTACCTTACCTTCCCTACCCCACATATACTTCAACTCTTACAATTTTCAAACAATAGCCTTTACAATCATTACACGTTATTTCGATATCTTTCCTCATCTCCACGGCCATAACAATACGCTATTTTGCGGCGCTTAGCCGTTTGGCCGTTTGGTGTTTGAAAATGTCTGGAAAGTTCTTTTTAGTCTCTTATGTGCGGGCACTTTCTTTTCGAACGGCGCCGGCTTTAAAGCCAATTTTTTGCTCGAATCTTTTTGTTTTTTTTGCGTAGGGCCAGCCGGCTTTTTTTGCGATGGGCCAGCCGGCTTAAGAAGAGAGAAGGGCAAGCGGCTTACGAGTTGGGGCCGGCCGGCTTAAGAAGGGGAAGGGCAGCCGGTTTAAGAAGGCGATGCGCACCCGGCTTACGAGTTAGGGCCGGCCGCCTTTAGAAGGGGATGGGCACCCGGCTACCGAAAAGAAAAGGCACCCAGCTTACGATTTGGGGCCAGCCGGCTTTGTATTTGGGGTTGGCCCTGAATAGCCTCGGGGACCTATCCCCGCCCTTACCCTCCCCTTTCCCCTTCCTTCCTTTTCCTTCACAGCCGGCTTTAAACTTGGGCCGACCGAATGACAGCCGCAGGGCCAACCGACTGAAAGCCGTGGGGCCGGCCAAATGGCAGCCGTAGGACCAACCGACAAAAAGCCGTAGGGCTAACCGACTAACTCTATGGGGCCAGCCGGCTGACTACATTTGAAGAAGAGAGAAGGGGTAGGGGGTTTCGAAGATGGGTTCGAAATCACCTAACCGGCTTCTTTGCGGGGACATTTTTTTGCCGACTTCATGAGATTCTCATAGGCATGCATGTTTTGTTTTTGCATACTATTTTTGGCTCTTCGTCATTACGAGTTCGTAGGGCCGACCGGCTTTTTTATCAGGCCAGTCGGTTACTTTAACCGGGCTAGTCGGTTTTTGTACTGAGCTAGATGTTTCTTACGGTTCACTAGTGTTCAGTACTGTTTTTGAAAGATAGGGTACCCTTTAGTCTTAGTTGTTATAGAGTTCCAGCCGGCTCTATACCTAACAATACAAAACCATCTATCTCCTACTTTTCATTTGGGGGACGGCCCGCTTTTTTTTTCGAAACGCCAGCTGGCTTCTTTTCATTGGGCCAGCCGGGTTCTTTTCATCGGGCCAGCTAGCCAGCCGGCTTGGCCTCTTCTTCGTTGTGATGAATTCGGGTTGTGCGTTGCCTGACTTAGGTGGCCGTTCCGTGGGGCCGGCCGGCTCCTTCGTTCTCCCCAGGCCGGCTTCTGTTGCGGGACAACCGGCTTCGTTCTCCACAGCCCGGCTTCTATCGCAAGGCAGCCGGCTTCTTCGTTCCAACTGGGCGGGCTTCTTTCGCGGGCCAACCGCCTTCTTTGAACAAGCCAGCTGGGTCTTCATGTTGTGTAGCCCGGCCGTCCTTTTTTGCTTCTTTTTGTAGCTGCTTGGCCATCCCGTCTTTGCTGCTTTGTAGCCGGTCCGTCTTCGCCCCTCTCCTAGCCGCTTGCCTGCCCCTTCCGCGCCTTCGCAGCCGATTGGCCCTCTTTCCCAGCCGGTCCAACCAGCCGGCCGGCTTCATCTGCGGGCCCTCCCCGCCGTCGAAATGGCCACGGAGTCTGTGGCCTTCCGCTCTCTCCCCTTTCTCTATTTTTCTGGTTTTTGCATGTCGGTAAGAATTAAGAAGCGTTAAAGCCGCTTTTTGGGCCGTCCCATGTCCTGCGGGCTCTTTCCTCCATTTCTTTTTACGTTTTTTATTTGCGGCTTGGATTTGGCAAGGGCGTGGGGGACTGGATGACGGTGGGGTGGTGAAAGCGCGGGCTTGAGGTGTTTGAAACAATTAGGGGTTTACTGAGGTTTTGGGGTAGGTGAGGGCGGGGTGGCAAAATTTTTTGAGTTGGTAAGATTAGGGTGAGGAATTTTTAGAATTGTTAAGTCTAAAATAGAAAAAATCAAGTAAGGCTTTACAAACCTCTGTGCAACTAAGTACTATACAGGGTGCGCCAAAAGTTCTGTTACAAAACTTTACCGGTCGTTTTCTCTAGTTAAATGTTTATAATTGTAAAGCCTAGCAAAGAGGAAAAGATGATCAAATAAGCCTATAAAAACTATAGTACAACTAGTACTATACAGTACAACCAGTACTATACAGTACAACCAGTACTATATAGCACGAGAAAAACCAAATAAACTGAGGATAGAAAAAAATTAACAATCGCCCTTCCACGAAGTAATTTAAGCTTTGTGGAAAGTAATTTAAGGTGTTATTTGTCTCGCTTTATTTGCATTCCTTGTTTTTTCGCGTCCTGAGGGGATTTGCGCGCCTTTAATACTCGTGGAGCTTTAAGCGAGCAATTTCCGTGGGACAAACTTTCAAAATTTCGAATAAGTTCTTAGACAAATTGTACGTGGGCTTTTGGGCGCGAAGGTAAAGGTTGTTCTTTGAACATTGGGCGGGTGGTTTTTTTTTGAACGGATAAAAATGGAGGGGGGGGGAATTGTTAGGGAATGGGGCTAGGGCTATAGATAGGCATTCTTAATGTTAGTTTTTGGGGTACTTTTTGATTATTTAGGGCTAATTATAAGCTATGTGGGTAGATGTCTAAATATAGATGCCATGCGTGAAATAGAGCCGCTTGTTTTGGCCTAATTCGAAATGAATTTGAAAAACGTTTTTATAAAACTTTGTTTGCCTAATGAATAGAGATTTTAAATTTAACTTTTAAGCTTTTTAGACTTTTTACAGGGTTGGCTATAATGAGTCAACGGACTTTTGGCGCACCCTGTAGTTTGGTGGAGTTAATGTTAAGATTTGGGCTAGGGTTACAATATTAAAGCTAAAGCTACAGCTATTTTTAAAGCTACGAATACGGCTAGAGTTCGACAGAGATAAAGCTAGACTTACGGTTAAAGTTAGAGCTAAGCTTGAAACTGTAAAACCTGTTTGATTAAAAAATCTGACTTTAAGCGGCTAAGTTTAGGTAAAAATCTGGAGTTAGGGTTATAGCTGGACATAGACTTAAAGCTAGAGCTAAAGTTAGAGCTAGACCTAGAGCTAAAGCTAGGGCTAGAGTTAGGACTGAAGCTAGGACTGGGATAAGGCTAGAGCTAGCGTTAGGGATAGAGTTAAAGCTAGAGCTGCAGCCGTAGGCAGTTATAAAAAATTTGAAAAAACAATTTTTCCGCTAAAAAATGACTATGAAAGGCTCAAAAAAGTATTAATCATGTGCCAAAAACCACTCGAAACGCTCCGCTCCTACGCGGCGAACGAAAAATTTTTGGCAATAAAAAATACAACGAAATGATGTGTAGTAACGTGACTGTGAAGTAGGCTTAGGCTTAGTAGGCGTAGGCTTAGTAGGTTTTGGCTTAGCAGGCTTAAGCTTAGTAGGCTTGGTCTTAGTTGGCTTAGACTTAGTAGGCTTAAGTTTATTAGGCTTAGGCTTAATAGGCTAAGGCTTAGTAAGATTTGGCTTTGTAGGCCTAGGCTTAATAGGCTTAGGCTTAGTAAGATTAGGCTTAGTAGGCCTAGGCTTAATAGGCTTAGGCTTAGTAAGCTTAGGCTTAGTAAGTTAAGGCTTTCTATATCGTCATTTTAAATTTCTGTCCATTGCCAAGTCTCTCCTTTATTTTCTCTTGAAGTACGTTTTTTTACATTACTGTGCTTTTTTTGCTTTTTTTGGGTTTGAGCCCTTAACAAGGATTTAGAAAAAAGTGGCCAAGGTTAGCCAGAGCCGAAAAGACGCTTAGAAAACTGCCAAATGGACTCTGAGAGCTCATTTGGCCAGTCTGGAAAAACCGCAAAATTCGAAATGATGATAAAGTTGTCATTGGGAATGTAACCTTATATACGAGAGATGTTATTATAATGATATGTGGTCACTCAAAGTCAGAGTTGTTAATCAAAAAGGCTTTATTAGGCTTATCAGTAGCTCTAGCTGCAGATTACAGCTCTAGTCCTAACTTGAGCGGTAAGCTTAGCTCTACGTTTAGCCTTAACTCTAGTTTTAGCTCTAGTCATAGCTTTAGCCCTAGTTTTAGCCTTAGCTTTAGCCCTAGCTTCAGCCCTAGCTATAGCCCTAGCCCTGTCACAGCAATTAACAATCGTTACTCCCAAACTTATTCATAAATTTTTAAAAATAATGGTTGAATCAACTAGAAACGATTAATATTATTTGAATCATGATTAGCTTTGATTATGTTTGATCATTGAATTCTCATTTTAAAGCAAATTTCATGTGAAATTTGAAATTTCAATTTTTTTGAAATTTTTAAAAGTTTTGATTTTTTCAGGATTTTTAAAAATTTTTAAACTTTAATTCTTCGAAATTTTAAAAAAATTTCAATTTTTTTTTGAATTTTTGAAATATAAGATTAAAATTTTTTTGAAATATTTAAAAATTTTAGTTTTTTAGAATTTTGAAAATTTTTAAATTTCAACTTTTTTCAAAATTTAAAAAAAATAAGTTTTTTTAGTTTTTGAAATTTTTTAAATTAATTTTTTTTCGAATTTTTTTTTAAATTTTGATTTTCAAATTTAAAATTCTTTAAGCCCTCAAGCCCTCATTATCTTGACATACTGGTTAGCCTCAGCTTTCTTATCACACACGTGTTTTGGTGTCCCGAAGAAAAGTTAATTAACCCTTTTTTAATTGGACGTTCTGTTTTGGGCCTCACTAACAAATATATACAGTTGTTTTTGGGGTCGCATTTGGAATTTTAATTAATAAAAAAATATTTTATCTTTGTCATCTTGTTGTGGGTGAGGAGAGCGGTTGTTTGTCTTTCGCGAGTTTTGATACAATTTATTATTTTTTTGGGGGAAAGAGATTTTGACTTTTTTTAACATTGTAGTGGTTTTTATGAATAGGAAAGGCTGAGAGAAAGGGGGGGGGGAGAACGGGGGAGGGAAGAGGGGTAAATTGTAAGGGCAAATTTAAGCAAAGATACAGTAAGGGGGGGGGGGGCGTGGTTGAAAGTTCAAATTTTTGTGTTACACGTCAGCCTACAAAGTAAAAACCTTAGGCTTAACTTTTAGCTCAAGTCTCATGTAAAAAGATTTAGGCTCAACCTTAGAACTGCGTTTAAGCCTAAGTTAAAACGTAAGTGTATACCCAATTTTGAGTTTAAGCCTAAGGTTAGACCTAAACTTAAGCATAAGACTAAGCCCAAGCCTAAATTTAAGATTAAAACTAAGACTAAGCCTAAAGTAATGTTTAAGCTTAAGCCTAAGCCTAAATGTAAAGCTTTTGCTTGAACCCAAAGCTTGCGGAAAAGTCTATGCAGCTTTGCTTTGAGCTTGGGTCCGTTTGGATTTTTGATCTTTATGATATTAAACCTAGAATTGCAAAAGAGCCAAACCGAGCTTAATGAACCCCTAATCAAGCCTAGCTAATCCTATTCGCTGTCAACGTATTTTACCTCAACTTTTTTTTTTATTACTACATATTAAATTTTACCTTCCCGTCTCAAAAAAACCACTTGCAAATGCCCGCCGGACCTACGAATTAAAAGAGGAACGAAGTAAGAACGAAGAAATGTCGAGAATTTGGCCAAAAACAGGCGCCTCGGCCGGGCCAGTTTAAGGTTTGGTTGGAGGAGGGAGAGGGTGGTGAGGTCTCTTTCGTTTTGATTTTTTCGAAAAAAAACGTGATATCTATTTAATTGTATTGTTCATGTGTACTCTTGAGTGCTCGGCTTATTATTTTATTGGCTAAACAGGAGTGGTTTAGGGGGTTTTGTAGAAAGGTGGGGGTAATTTTGGGAATTTAAGGAAGGGAGGAGTATGTTAAAAGGTTTAGAGAGGGAAGAGGTTGATTTAGGACCTTTAAGAGTTAGGAGACGTAATTTTGTTAGTTCCAAAGGGGGCAGGGGTAATTTACAAAGTTTAGTAGAAAAGGCGGGGTAATAGGGTTTACGATTTTATCTTAAGGGGGGGGGGTAAAGCAATAAAAATAGGTCCTTAACTCATTTTTAAAAATGAAAGTTGAGTGGAAGATTTTCAGTGCAAAATACATTACAAATTTTCCACTCAACTTTCACTTCTAAAAAGTGTCAAAAATGCATTTTTAGGCCATTTTAAGACATTTTAAAAATGGAAGTTAGGTGGAAGATTTTCAGTGCAAAATACATTACAAATCTTCCACTCAACTTTCACTTTTTTGAATTTGAAAAAAGTGAAAGTTCTTGGCATTTTTTGTTTTGTAAAAGAGGTTTTTGCCATTTTGTGCTTTGGAAACAAAGTTTTTGCTCTTCCGCCAATAAAAATGTTATTTGCAACATTATTTTTCTTGTTGTAAACAAAGTTCTTACGCTTCCTCTTAAAATTCGGTTAAAGCCCTGAGGGTACTTAAAATTCCCAAAGTTCTTGTGACTTAAACGTGACGTGTCTATCATTCCTTGTTTTGTGTCTTTTTTAAAAGCAATAAAAATAAGGGCACGTCACGGTTGGACCGGCAGAACGTTTATTTGGCCGTTTAACAGGTTGATTTTATTTTTGCCTGCTCTTTCTTACTCTACCCTACCCAACCCTACCCTACCCTACCCTACCCTACCCTACCCTACCCTACCCTACCCTACCCTACCCTACCCTACCCTACCCTACCCTACCCTACCCTACCCTACCCTACCCTACCCTACCCTACCCTACCCTACTCTACCCTACTCTACCCTACCCTACCCTACCCTAACCTACCTTACTCTACTTTACCCTGCTCTATCCTCCCCCCTCCTATCTTATCTTACTTTGCCTCACTGTACCTTATTTTCTCTACCGTACCTTTATCGTACTCTTGCCGTAACCTTACGCAACTCTTACTGTAATTCGCTGTGTCTTACGCTACTCTATGTCTTACTTCACTTATAGTTTACTTTGGTATGCTTTACTTTCGCTATGCCCTACCCTACCTATGTTTTACTCTGTCTGTGCCTTACCTTGCCTATTCCCTACCTTACTTATGCTGTACGTTACCTATTCTCTACCCTATTTATTCTTTATCGTACCTATAGACTACCTTGCCTATTCCATACCTTACTAAAAGTTTTACATTACTTTCTGTTTTACTGCTTACTATTGTTTTATAAAGATATTACCTACATTTATATACCCATCTCTTAATTTTTATATTAAAATACGACCATTTCAAACCGCGTCGCTTACTATGCTTTATATTTTTATATGTAACAGAACTTTTGGCGCACTCTGTATTATCTTATTAGGTCGTTCACATAATTCTGCGCCTTCGTACTCCACAAATTAACCCTGAGAAAGGGCGCAGAATTAAGTGAACAACCTAATGCTACATCTAACATAACTTGAATATCATCACCTTTCCAGCTTGTTGATGACAAATCGCAAAGACCAGTTGACGTTGCCCACAACCGGGAGTAGCGAGCAGCCATTGAACACGAATAATGTCACAGAGAAGAAGATCACATTCGAAACGCCGCCGGCTGAAACCGAGCAATGCCTGGGGTCGCGGGTCACCTTCAGCGAAGAGTCCGTAGCCATCGAGAACATGGGCTCCAAGATGGGCAAGTTCTCGAGCTCGCGCGAAATCGCCGAACTCACCGAAGAGACGGTGGATCAGGACGACCGGGAAGGTTGGGACAACAAGATGCAGTTCATGATGGGTGTCATCTCGTACGCGGTGGGGCTGGGGAATGTATGGCGATTCCCGTATTTATGTCAGAAGAATGGCGGAGGTGGGTTGTTTTTTTTGCTGTTTCTTATCAGTTTAGGCTTAAAAAATAAGTTTTTGGAAGTTTAGGCTTAAGAAAAGATTTTTCAAAAATTAAGGTTAAAAAATAATTTTTTGGAGCTTAGGTTTACAAAAAAAACATTTGAAATGTGTAGGCTGATAAAAAGGTATTTACAACAGTTAGGCTTAAGAAAAAAGTTATTCTAGTTTTAGGCTTAGACAAGTTTGGTCTTGAAGCATAGGCTTAAAAAAGTTTTTTTTTCAATATTTAGGCTTAAAAAATAATTGTTTATGAGATTTAGGCTTAAAAAAAGGCTTTTACAAATGTTAGGCTTAAGAAAAGCTTATTTCAAGGATAGGCTTATAAAAAACTTGAAGTTTAGGCTTAAAAAATAATTTCTTGAGGCTTAAATTAAAAAAATTTTTTTCTCCAAATACTAGGTTTAGTATTACATTTTGGCTTCTTTGGGCTTGAAAAGACCTTACTTTTATACGACTTTTGGTTACTTGCAGACTGCGGGTGACAAGTTATACGATGAGTAGATACAAATGATGATTGTTTTGTTTTGTAAAGAAACTTCTTGCCATTTTTTGTTTGTAAAGAAAGTTTTTGTATTTTTCAGCTTGTAAAGAAAGTTTTTTTCATTTTTTGATCTATAAAGAAAGTTACGGCCATTTTTCACTTTGTAAAGAAAGTTCTTGCCATTTTTTATCAAAATGCCATCTTTCAGGTGCCTTCCTAATTCCGTACGTGATAATGATGGTCCTGGAAGGCATGCCCCTCTTCCTGATAGAGCTGGGCATTGGTCAGCGGTTGCGAACGGGTCCGGTGGGTGTGTGGAACGCCATCCATCCCTATTTGGGCGGGGTGGGAGTGTCGGCGGCGGTGGTCTCGTACCTGGTCGGCCTCTACTACAATGTCATTCTGACATGGTGTATATACTACTTGTACCAGTCGTTCTCGCTGGAACTGCCTTGGACGGTGAGTGCTTTTGATTACTGTAGATGTTGAGTTGAAAATGGGGTTACTGTAGGTTTGTTTTTGGGTATTGTGGTACGGTAGGGTAGGGACAGAAAAAAGGGGGATAGGCAGGTACTGTAGTGAGTCTTAGTTTAATATATGAGTTACTATAGCATAGGACTGGGTACAGTAGGGTAGGGTAGGGTAAATAAAGCCTGATTCAAATAAAATACGGTATTCTTGAACTTAAGGTTACGGTAGGGCTACCATTTTTATCTTTGGATTACTGTAACATCAATGCTTTTTCAGCATTGTCCAAAGTACGAAAATGGCACGGAATACGAAGAATGTGCCAGGTCCACGACGCCCACGAATTACTTCTGGAATCGTCAAGCCATCAACACTTCAGAGTAAGTTTAAATTGAAATTTAAAATTTTTTTAAATTTTAAAGAGCCAATGTTTTTTTATTTAAAAATTTTTGCTTCGATAAACATACTTCACCGTATTTTACAAAAAAAATCTAACTGTTATAAAAATCCAAGCAAAAAATTGAAATTTCAATAATGAAAGTCAAGTGGAAGATTTTCAGTGCAAAATACATTACAAATCTTCCACCCAAATTTCACTTTTAAAAAGTGTCAAGAATGTGTTTTTAAGTCATTTTAAGACATTTTGAAAATGTAAGTTCGGTGGAAGATTTTCAGTGCAAAATACATTACAAATCTTCCACTCGACTTCCACTTTTTTATCCTTCACATTTTAGCTGTTTCTAAACATTTTAGGCTTATCTAACCTTCAAAACCAATAAAAAAAGCTAAAAATAGTTAAAACCTCTAATTATCACCTAAAATTTCAGTGGAATCGGCGAATTCGGCGGCTTCACCATGCACATTACAGTATGCCTCGTACTCGCGTGGACGTTGATCTACCTGTGCGTAATGAAGGGTATCAAAAGTAGTGGCAAAGTGATGTATCTGACTGCTACATTCCCCTACGCCGTCACCACCATCTTTCTATTTCGTTCACTTATGCTGGAAGGAGCTTTGGATGGGCTGGTTTATATGTTCACTCCTGATGTAAGTTATCATTTTGACTATGACCCGCTCGTATTTTACAAAAAATGCTTTTTTGAAGCTTATCATACCATATAAGGTTAAAAAACGCTTATTTTTGATAGTAAAATCAAGTTTTACATGATTAAGGTAGGGATAGAAAAGTGGAAGATTGGTGGAAGATTTTCAGTGCAAAATACATTGAAAATCTTCCACTTAACTTTCACTTTTAAAAAGTGTTAAAAATGCATTTTTAGGCAATTTTAAGCCATTTTAATAAAGGAAGTTGGGTGGAAGATTTTCAGTGCAAAATACATTACAAATCTTCCACTCGACTTCCACTTTTTTAAAATTGCTTTTTTGGCGTAAAGAACCTATTTTCTCTTACCCTACCCTTCTTTCCCTCTTACATACCGCCATATTTCAGCTGACCCGCCTGTACGATCCAGAAGTGTGGCTAGAAGCGGCTACACAGATCTTCTACAGTATGGGTCTAGGGTTTGGTGGACTGATCGCTTTTGGATCGTATAATCCAATCAAGAATAATGTAAAAAAGGACACGTTATTGTTATCAGCAGCCAATTTGGTCACTTCCTTGTACACAGCCTTAGTCATCTTTTGTGTGTTGGGCTACATGGGACATACGAACTACCACAAATGTATCGAAAAGTGAGTTTTTGTAGGTTGTAAAGAAAGTTCTTGCAATTTTTTATTTTGTTTTTCAAATTTTTTTGTTATATAAAGAAAGTTCTTGCAATTTTTTGTTTTGTAAAGAGTTTTTGCTGTTTTTTGGTTTGTAAAGAAAGTTCTTGCTATTTTTGTTTACTTTGAAAGCTCTTTAGTCGATTTTGAAGCCCGCAGGCTGCACGTGACAAGTTATACGATAAATTAATTAAAACTTTTTGTTTTGTAAGGAAAATTCCTGCAATTCTTGGCTTTGTAAAGAAAGTTCTTACCATTTTTTGTTTCGTAAAGAAAGTTCTTGCAATATTATTTTTTGTTAAGAAAGTTCTTGCCATTTTAAACATGACATAAGATTTTTACAACTTGCTTAACCATTTTTGTTTCAGAGACATGCTAACCCTAATGCAAACCTACCCAGGCCGGTTCAGTTCACTGGAAGAACTCAAGGGTAATATCACATTGGATGAGTACATCTACCACATGGAGCACCATTTTCATTTGTCCGAATTCTCGAAGATGGCGAACCTGACTCAGGCCTGCAACTACAAGCAGATCATCAGTCAGGCGGCCGAGGGGACTGGACTAGCGTTCGTGGTGTTCACGGAAGCGATCCTGCAGTTCCCGTTCCCACCCATCTGGGCCCTCCTCTTCTTCCTGATGCTCCTCATGCTGGGACTGGGCAGTATGTTCGGCACGCTGGAGGGCGTGATCACGTCGCTGAACGACAGTCATCTGATCAATGTCAAGAAGCCGGTCATGACCGGTATACTGTGTGGCTCGGCGTGCTGTGTCGGGCTGGTGTTCACGACGAGGTCGGGTCAGTACTGGGTGTCGATGTTTGACCACTTTGCCGGATCGTACGCTCTGATGTTGGTGGCGTTCTTTGAGATCTTCGCCGTGATCTACGTGTACGGATTCAGAAGATTCTGTAGGGATTTGGAGTTTATGACTGGAGAGACGATCGAAGGCTACTGGATCTTCACGTGGAGATTCATATCGCCTACCATCATGGTGGTACTATTTGTGTGTTCGGTCATCAAGTCGTTTGCTCATGTACCACAATACTCGGCTTATGACTCGGTTATGGTAAGTTGATGTACTGTATAATATTTAGGGTACTGTAGCTTTAGTAATACAGAAAGGGGGGGGGGTACTGTATTTGTGGATTCTGCAGATGGGTTTTGCAACTTGAATAATATTGATGGGGATACTGTAGCTGATAGTTTGAGTAATATAGGTGTGAATACTGCAGTTAGAGTACTGTATCTTGGGTAATATGAAGAGAGTACTGTAGTGGGGGTACTGTAGTTTAAGTTTTACAGGAGGGGGTACCGTAATTGGGCACTTTAGCCTGTGTAATGTAGATAGGGTTACTTTAGGTTGAGTAATATAGATTGGAGTATGGTAGTTGAGATACTGTAGCCATGGTAGGGTAGGGTAGTAGGGTTGGGTAGGGTAGGGTAGGGTAGGGTAGGGTAGGGTAGGGTAGGGTAGGGTAAAGTAGGGTAGGGTAGGGTAGGGTAGGGTAGGGTAGGGTAGGGTAGCGTAGGGTAGGGTAGGGTAGAGTAGGGTAGGGTACGGTAGAGTACAATAGAGTACGGTAGGTTACGGTAGGACACGATAAGCACGGTAGGCTACAGTAAGGTACCGTTGGCTATCATAGGGTACGGTAGGATACTGGAGACTACAGTACCGTAATTTAGGCCACTTCATTAACTAAAAACCCAATTTCAGGCTCATCAACACAACGTAGAGTATCCAAAATGGGCTCTGTTCATAGCTTTTGGTATGGTCGCGTTCGCCATTGCTCCAGTACCATTAGTACTATTCGTGAGACACTTTAAGATTGTCAAGATGGAAGGTGACATTCCAGTTGTAAGTCGTTGTTGGTTGCCGAGTTTTCTAAAACAATATCGTGTACTTGGTGTAGTTTGCCATTTCATAAGCTTAAGGGGCTGTTTTTCTGGAATATAAGCCTAAAATGGCTTTTTAAGCTACTTAAGCCTAAATTAGCATTTTGGTGCTTGTCTAAGCCTAAAATGAATTTCTTAATGTTTTTAAGCCTAAAGTTTCATTTTTTGCTAGGCTAAGCCTAAAATGATTTTTATAAGTTTTTAAGCCTAGACAGGCATTTTAGGCTTATATTCAAACGAAATAAGCCTAAGATAGCACAAAGTTGACAGATTCGTATTTTACATTACCTAAAGTGCTAAACTTAAAGCCAACTTACCGTATCCTTAGTAAAATGTTGTGAGTAAAACCTATAAAACTACAGTATACCTGCTTGACGTTGTGCCTTAACAGTTTCGCCTACTTTTTTCTTGTTCTGTGTTCCTATTACAACTCTAAAACCGAGGTTTTTTGGTGTTTTGTTGGTCTTGTAAGCTTAGTGCGAGGGGGTGTACGGTACTTGGGAGAACTGTAGACTACCCTATTTTACAATACTTCAACTTATTCTACCATACAATACCATATTATACCCTACCCTATTATACTACTCTACCCTGCTTTATCCTGCTCTACCCTACCCTACCCTACCCTACCCTACCCTACCCTACCCTACCCTACCCTACCCTACCCTACCCTACCCTACCCTACCCTACCCTACCCTACTCTACCCTACCCTACCCTACCCTACCCTGCCCTATCCTACCCTATCCTACCCTACCCTACCCTACCTTACCCTACCCTACCCTACCCTACCCTACCCTACCCTACCCTGCCCTACCCTACCCTACCCTACCCTACCCTACCCTACCCTACCCTACCCTACCCTACCCTATCCTACCCTACTCTACCCTACCCTCTACCCTACCCTACTATTTGATCTACAATATCATACCTTATTCAGCCGTGCCCTGCCCTACCGGTCCTGTCTTAACTTACCTTACTTAACCCTAGCATACCGCCTTAAGAATAAATCCCGACTGTAGCCTTCTTTACTCGATTACAACAGTAATACTAGTAAAAGTCACAGGACCCCCAAATTACCACACCCCCGTACTACAATTTAAAACCTGTTTATGTTGTTTTTGTGGTAGAGGCTGAGAGAAATCGAACTAAAAATGAAAGTTTTTGTCGTTACAGGATATGGATGACCCCTATTGGAACACAGAAAAGGTTTGTAAATTGTGTGGCTTAACGTTGACTGGGGGTCATACTTTTTTTAGATAAAAAGGGGGGGGAATCGATTTTTTGCGCTGAGGGAGGGAGGGGGAGTAAACAAAAATTAAAAAAATGAGACTTTAGGCTTAATTTGAGCCATACAAAGGCAAAAAAGGGTAAAGATTGGCCAAAACTAAGGTTTTCTATAGTCATTCATACTGTAATTAAGGTCAAGCGAATAATACTGTATTTTTGAAGTTTCAAACTTTTAAAAAATGGTTAAATTTAAGCTAAAATACAACTTAATTTACAAGAAATGTCATCCAAAGTTTGATTTTTTCAGTAGAAAGTTGTTCAAAAATGCTGAGCTACCCAACCCTGAAAATTTGCTTTATAGGTAGCTCAAAAGCTTTTTGAACAACCTGATATGTCATGTATAAGGTAGATATGACTTTTTTAATAGTTATGACGTTTTTTTCAATACCTTTTAATAAAAAAAATTTTTTGAAAAACCGTTCTTAGTACCCTGCTACTGTGCCTAACCCACTGCTTACCTATATGGTACTATAACATCACAAAATAAAAATGATGACATTAAAAACTTTTAGGCCGCCAAATGTCTGGGAACAAGTGCCAGTACCACTTACATGCTACGAAGTCAACAATCATTCAACAGAATGGCCGAGTCCAATGCCAGTGAGCTACCCAACATTGGTCGACCATCGAATGGCACTGACAAGCCTTATACGAACGGCAATCGACTGGCGGTCGATCCGAAGGCTAATGGCGCTCCGGCTAAGTAAAAATTGTAGTTTTGGTCTGTTTTTGAAATTTTGAAGTTTAAAATTTTGAATTTATAAAATTTTTCGAAATTTCAAAATTTTTTTTAAATTTCAAAATTTTTTGAAATTTGAAATATTGATCGTTTTTTCAATTTCCAACTATCTCATGGTCTATTTTCGCATATTACACTACTTTAGAGTTTATATTAACCATCTTTCTGAGCTAAATTTTACCATTTTTTTCCATTTTTACACCAAATTTTAAGGTAAAAATCAGTGATTTTAGGTGTTTTTAGGGTTGGAAATGCCATTTTTTATTTGACTCGACTTTGAAAATGACATTTCTTTTTAATTACGGTTAAAAAATGACATTTTCTTCTTACATTAGGCCAAAAAATGTCATTTTTTAGTTGAATAGGCCTTAAAAAATGTAATTTTATTTTTGACCAGGCCTTAAAAATGCCATTTTTCATTTGACTAGGCTTTTAAAATGACATTTTTCCTTACCAAAGGTTAATAAAGGTCATTTTATACACGGTCAACCTATAAAATCATCTTTTTTCTGTTACCTAAATTCAAAAAATGCCATTTTTTATTAGACCAACTGAGAAAAAATGTCATTTTTCATTTACCCTACAGTTAAAAATGTCATTTCAAATCTTTATGACATCAAAAAAATTAATTTATAAGGCTACAATTAAGAAAAAAAAAAGTTTTGTCGTTTTTTACCATTAAAATCCACGCAAATCAACGACAAAACTTTTTAATCACCTTAATATTTGGTCAAAAAAGTGAAAAAATGATAAAAATTACCTTTATGACATTCTTTTTTCGAATTTACAGTCTTACATTGACTTTATACAGTTTTTACTCTATTTTAAAGTGGAATTTCACACAGATTTATACTCATATTAGGTATGTTTTGGCAGTTTTTCAGCCACAACTTTCGAATTTTCTTTAGGAAATTTGTCTTTGGACTGAAAAGTTGTTGAAATTGATTTTTAATCTTATTATTATTGTATTGGGCTTGCTATATAAGGGTTGGCATGGGTTTTTTATGAAAAATTGTTTTTAGGTATGAAATGGCATAGTTTGACATATAATGTCGTATATGACATAAACTCTCATATTATGACATAAAATGTTATATTACGACATAAAATGTCATTTTATTACTTAAAATGTTATATGTTGACATAAAATGTCGTACATGACATTTTAGTAAGTAATGTCATTTTTAAATTAAAAATGTCAAAGATGACAATTTTAAGTTAAAAATGACATTCTAGGCTTAGACTGTCATTTCCTGGCCTAAAATGTCATATGTTGACATAAAATGTCGTTTACGACATTTAAAAAAAATTATGACATTGTATGATTTAAAAATGTCAAAAATGACAAATTTTTAATTAAGAATGACATTCTAGGCTTATAATGTCATTTTTGATCTAGAAATGTTATATTTTGACAAAAAATGTCTTATACGACATTTTTAAACAATGATGACATTTTATGGCATAGTATAACAAAAATGGCAAATTTTGTATTTGTAATGTCATCTTAGGCTTAGAATGTCATTTTCTATCTGCAAATGTCATACTATGACATAAAATGTCATATTACAACATTAAATGTCAACCTTTATACAGCTTGTTTCATATGTATACGGGTCATTTTTCGGATGGCTTTAAACAAAATAATCGGTAGCTTGGTATGTATTATTCTTTTCCATAGTCGTTCCTACACCACATAATTATTCTACCGGTCGATATTGTTATTCGTTAGTTGTTTTTTCTTCGATTTTCAGTTTGGTTTATTGTCTTTACTTGATGTTTTAGGTTTGTTTGGAAGGTGGAAATGGTAGCTAATGCTTAGGCTTAGGCTTAGGCTTAGGCTTAGGCTTAAGCTTAGGCTTAGGCTTAGGCTTAGGCTTAGGCTTAGGCTTAGGCTTAGGCTTAGGCTTAGGCTTAGGCTTAGGCTTAGGCCTAGGCTTAGGCTTAGGCTTAGGCTTAGGCTTAGGCGCCGGCTTCGGCTTCGGCTTAGGCGCCGGCTTCGGCTTCGGCTTAGGCTCAAGCTCAAGTTTAAGCTCAACCTCAACCTCAAGCTCAAGCTCAATTTCAGGCTCAAGTTCGAGCTCAAGATCAAGCTCAGACTTAGGTTAAGACTTTATTTCAGGCTCATGTTCAAGCTCAAGCTTAAGCTCAAACTTAGGCTCGGGCTGTAGTTTACGCTAGACTGAGGCTGAGACTGAGCTATCGGTTAGGCTTAAGCATAAGCTAAAGCTTGATCAACAGTAATTTTTCGAACGACCTATACAATTTTAACCACTTCTACCTTTCTCAACTTGATTCTGTCTTTTCTGACTCAACTAATACTGGTTCATAATAAAAAGTGCTCAGTGTTGTAACAATTAAACTTTGTAAAATACGTTTCGGCATTATCGGTAAACTTTTAAAAACAAATGATAAAATACGTTGACCTTTCATTTCATAGACTAAAATAACCCTCCCATGGCATGGCAAGTTTCACTCTTCAAACTTTGTATCAAGTTTATAAATAAAAATTTACAGTAACAATAAGTAGGGAAATAGTGTTGGTTGTGGCAGTGAATAGAGGTATTACCAGGTTTTTAGGGCAAGATATGTAAATTCTTTTTCTTTTTTTTTAAATTTGAAAAAAAATTTTAAAGATTTACACTTGAGCTTCACGTCGAGGTGGTTGACTGTACTCGTAGACACCCGGGATTGGCTAAAAAAACAAAAATTAACTAATTGTGCACTACCCTACCCTACTCTACCCTACCCTACCCTACCCTACCCTACCCTACCTTACCCTACCCTAACTACTCTAACCTACTCTGTATCAACTACAGTATTCTATCTACAGTATCCCAATAATATTACTTAAGATACAGTATTCATACTGAACTCATCCCACTTTTAGTGCCCTATACTACTCAAGCTCCAACTACAGTACTTACGTCTATATTACTTAAGCTACAATACCCCATTTACATTACCCACATCTGTACTACAGTACCAAATCTCCGTCTATATGACTCAAGCTGCAGTACTTCCAAATACGGTACTTCCATCTATGTTACTTAAGATACGATACCTCAATTAGATTACCCACATATGTACTACAGTACCAACATATCTCAACTACAGTACTTACATCTATGTTATTTACGCTACAGTATTCCAACTACAGATTGCCGGTTAATACTACTCAAGCTACAGTACTTACATCAGTCGTAAGCTCTTTCTCCACCCTCACTCTAAACATTTCTCAGCTATCTGAACCCTTATCTATCTTAATTTACCCATTTAACCCATCCTTACTTCATTTTGAATACTAGTATCATCAACGGGTGGTTGTCTCAAGGCATACGGTTCTCTCGGCTTGTTCCATTCGCTTTCCAACAATGGATTACTGACTATCGGTCGATTCCTGATCTGTTGCTGATATATTCTCTGCCTCTCCCTCGGCTCGGTAGCTCGTCGCTTCAGTGCACAAATGTACAGTATCAACAGTATGATAAAGAAGATAAGGAGTAGTCCACACAGTACTCCGAGGATGATAGTCCAGACCTTGTAGGCCGAACTCACTCCAACCTCGCGACGAGTGATGTCAGCCAGGTCGGCACAAGCATCATTCATAACACCCAGGCCACATTGAGTACAGTTCTCGACGTTGGCGCGGCTATTGTCATAGGTACAGACTGAGGAGATGTTGGTTAGCCTGGAGGTGCAGATAGCTTTGCCTGGGCCAGTGCTTATGGGTTTACATTGTAAATCACAGTTTTCACCGAGGAAGGAAGACTGACACGATACTGCGTACTGTAGCTCGAGCCTAGAAGATGGTACTGTTAGAGTACTTACCAAAATAGTCCTATAACAAAAAGTACAAAAGGTTTTATCATTATATGCTTTGTAAAGAAATTTCTTGCCATTTTACATTTTGTAAAGAAAGTTCTTGCCATTTTTTACCCTGTAAACAAAGTTTCTGCCCCCTCAAACTTACTGTGATCTCACCACACTTCCGGTGAGTTTTGTGACAACCGGCTGTGGTTGTTGATTGGCGATAGTCGGTCGATAATCGTCCAAATCCAACGCAAAACTATCGACCAGCCAGAATTCGTTGAGGTAAACGACCTGTCGACCTTGGATGACGGGACCCAAGTTATTCACAAAGACATCGATTGTTGACTGAAATTACAGAAAATGTGTCATCTTAGTGTTTATAAAATGTGTCATCTTTATATCCAAAAAATATGTCATCTTTAAGTTTAAAAAATAGGTCGTACTTATGTTCAAAAAATAAGTCATCCTTACTTCCAAAAAAATGTGTCATCAATTATTTCAAAAAAAAGTGTCATCTCCAAGTTTATAAAATATGTCATCTTTTTCCACAAAATGTGTCATCAAAAAACTTTAAAATTCAAAAATGTGTCGTCTTTAACTCCAAAAAATGTGTCATCATGACTTTTTTATAAAAAGCCAATTGTAAAATCAAACTTACAGGCTTAAAAGCAGTTTGAATCGAGACCGGAGCCATCCAATCGCCACTGTTCTCCATTGGCAGTCCAGTGTTATTAATGATGACAAACTGCTTTGATATGTACTGGGCTGGTTCTCCACTGAAAAGTTTTTAAACTAGAGAGTTTTTTAGCTTGGAAAGAAAGTTTTTGCCATTTTTAGTTTTGTAAAGAAAGTTCCTGCCGTTTTTCAATTTCTAAAGAAAGTCCTTGCCATTTTTTGTTCTGTAAAGAAAGTTCTTGCAATTTTTTGTTTTGTAAAAAAGTTCTTGCCATTTTATGCCTGTAGAAAAAGTTTTTGTTATTTTGAGCTTTGAAAAGAAAGTTCTTGCATTTTTTTGTTTTGTAAAGAAAGTTCTTGTCATTATTATTTACCCTGTCTTACTTTACCCTACCCTGTCCTATCATACTTACCCATTCTGCGAAACAACAATAGTAAACGTAAAGTAGCATGGATGTAGCACATTCTCCAGTATTGTGCACTCTTCTCGAGGACAGTAGCATGTTTTACCATCCCTCATGGCCTTATTCTCATTGATATAGCCAGTGAGCTGAAGGTTTAGCACTGCACCTGGACTAAGACGATTCCCCTAAAATTAGTCATCGTTTTTATTGATTCCATGGTTGTATAATGGCTTTTCCGTGTTGTGATTCATTAAATGGACATTAGAAAGGAAAAAAGGCCTTAGGGTGCAAAAAAAAAGAATTTTTTAAAACTTTTTTTTTTATTTAAAAAAAAATGAAGTTAACGTATTTTACAATAAAAAATCTTTAAAAATGCTAATTTTCAGCTTAAAAAACAAATTTTTAACCAAAAAACATAAAGTTGAAAAAATGGAAGCTGAGTGGAAGATTTGTAATGTATTTTGCACTGAAAATGTTTCACCCAACTTCCACGGCTAAAAAGTGTCAAAAACGCGTTTTTAAGTCATTTTAAGACATATTTGAAATGGATGTCCAGCGGAAGATTTTCAGTGCAAAATACATTACAAATCTTCCACTCAACTTCCACTACTAAAAAGTGACAAAAATTCCATTTTTGGCAATTTTAAGTCTTTTTAAAAATGGAAGTTTGGTGGAAAATTTTCAGTGCAAAATACATTACAAATCTTCCACCCAACTTCCAAATTTTTAAATTTGATTTTTGACGACCTACCCTATTAGGATTGATAAAAATGCCTGGAGAATTGCTAACCGACACCAAATTTCCACCAAAATTGCCAGTATTACCACCCGCGCCCATTCGATCGTACATAGCTCCCGGCCTGAGCAAGGTTTGTTTATTAATGGCAGCACCTTGTGGATTCACATTTCGTTGATTCTGAAGTTGGACTTTGGGATTCTGTTGAAGTTGGCCAAAAAGTGGTTGATTTTGATTAGAGTTTGGTCGATTCTGATCAAATCCTGGTCGATTAAGCCCCGCGGGTTGACCATGAAAGTTTGGGTTGTTACTCTGCACATTGGTACCACCTTGTGCACCATTATTTGAGAATTGTCCGCCTTGTACACCAGACAAAGCAAATTGTCGATTGGGTGTGCCAGACTGTCCCAGCTGGCCTGGCTTCGAGTTTTGAGGGTTGAGATTGATCGATGAGCCAATTTGGCCATTTTTGTTTGGAGTTGGGCCAAAGGGGTTGTTTGGGCTGATTTGGGAGCGGCTGTTTTGTCCGCTTTGCCCGAATTGTCCGTTTTGCCCGTTTTGCCCGAATTGTCCGTTTTGTCCGCTTTGAGAGCCAAATCCCGGTCGATTTTGGGTTAGCGGACTGATTGGGTGGTTCGGGTTGATCTGAGGGATTGGGCCGTACTGTTGGCCGCTAGTACTAGCGAAGTGGGTACTGGCTATAGCAAAAAGAAGCCATGGAATTAAAAGCATTTTAACCCCTGAAAAGTCATTTTAAATAAAAAAAAATTTTGTTTTTTAAAATTATAAAAACAAATTAGAAATGTCATTTTATAATCAACCCTTCAGCAACTTTTCAAAAATTTTGCATTATCTACCCTCTCCCCCCTTCCTACCCTACCCTCCATTCATATTTTTTCCAATAAAAATTTTTTTATCTACCCCCTCTTTACCCCTCTCTTCTTTTCATAATCTTTTTAAAATAATTTTCTAATCCACCCTCCCCTCCCCTCCCCCCACTTTTTAAACAAAAAATCAACCCAAAAACAACATTTTTTATACAAACCCTAAGGCAAACTTTTTTTATGAATGAAAGCACGAAAAATTTAATCGATACGCCTTCTTCTAAACAATCTTATGGAATTTTTGTATAAACACGGAGGTATCGGCCCCTGAGGCGCTGAGGAAAACGTTTTGAGGTAAGACCAAGGAAGGAGAAGATAGCAGAGCAAAAGGTTTTGCAAACAAATCTTTCTATCAGGAAACGTTGTTTTGTGGTTATAGACAGTGTTAAGACAGTACCCTATCCTACCCTACCCTACCCTACCCTACCCTACCTTATATTTTCTTAGTATACCATACCCTGTCGTTAAACCCTATCTTGCCTTATACCTTACACCTATTTCTATTCTGGCTTACCCCAGCCCTTTCTCTACACTGCTAATGCCCTACCGTAATTTACCCCTACGTACCAAAAAGGTTACTGTTACTACTAACCCATTCTAACGAGGTAAGACCAAGGAAGGAGAAGATAGCGGTAAATAAAAGCAAGGTAGTGTCACCCTTGCAGCATTCTACCCTAGACATGAAGAACGGGCCAAGCCAGTAGTCTTGACCCAAATTTAGGTCGAGCCAAGCGCGCAACCCAAAAAAGCCCGGCCCGTTTCCACGTAAAACAATTTGGTTGGGCCGGGCCAGCCCTAAACAAAATTTAAATCAGGCCGGACCTAAAAGCGGCTCGCTCCTCATGTCTACTCTTCTCTGCTCCACCTAAACCCAACCCTTGCTTTACACTTGTCATACCCTACCCTAACTTACCTTACCTTGCCCTACCCTACATTATTCAATTTTCATGCAACTACACCCTGTCTACGATACCCTATCCAACCTTGTTGTTATACTCATCATACCCTGCCTTATTCTATCGTACCATACCCTACCTTACGCTACCATACCTTATCTTATTCTAGCTTACTTTACCTTACCCTACCTTATCCTACCCTACCCTACCCTACCAATAAGAATCATGTAATTCAAGCTTGCTGTCCTTTCCAAATCCCATAAAATTATGAAAAACATTTAAAACCAAAGAAAAAACAAAAAGAATCGTAAGTAAGACAAGGTTTGCATAGAACTGATTTCGAAAAAAGAAGAATTTTTAATTCTCAAAGTGACCCTCCGCTTTTTATGAAAATTTCCCGGGCCCCGAGCCGTTTGATAGCTAAAAAAGGCGAGCCGACTGACCCAAAACGCATTTTCCCGATCGAAATTATTTTGAAAAAGCGAGGTGAGAACGTGGATGATTGCCAAACAATCTTGAAGGCTATTTACAGGTCATTAAATTGGCTAACACGTTGATGTTGTGATAAAACGTAAAACTTTTGAAAATAAAAAATCAAAGATATTTAACTATTTTTGTCAAATATGCCTATCAATAAGCTTACGAAATAAGTTTCACCAAGCCCTAAAACCTTGTGTTATAACTAAACGAAGCTTCAGCTTATGCTTGTTAAGCATGAACTTAGCATGAGTTTAAGCTTTGGTCTAAGCCGCGCCAGAGCCTGAGCTTGAGCCTGAGCCTGAGCTTGATCCTGCGCCTGAGTCAAAAGCCTAAGCCTAAGCCTAAGCTTAATCCTAAGCCTAAGCCTAAGCCTAAGCCTAACCCCTTACTAAACCGCGGTCTACTAAGCATAGGCCTACTAATTCTAAGAGTACTAAGCCTAAGCTTGCTAAGCCTAAGCGTAATAAGTCTAAGCCAGCTAAGTTTAAACCTACTAAGCCTAAGCTCTTAACCACCAAGTCTCCCAAACCTAAGCGTAAGTCTTTTAAACGTAATATTTCTAACTCAAAGCCTAAAAAACCAAATTTTAAAACTTGAACGTCCAATTTGCCAAATCCTTAAACTTTTTGCACTTTATGCCACACCTACACCAAAAACCTTTAAAAACCGCGAAGAAGACTTGAAGGAACATAGCCGTGATTCCTTTCTTCTCTCGCCTTCTTTAGGCAATTCATCTTTCTTTGCATAGCCATGCTTGCAGTGCAAACAAAGGGCGATTGATCCATAAATACCGCGGTAAATTGAAACAATATAGGGGTTTAGAACCGAGAAAATCTAGAGTAAAGCGGCCAATTCTTATGGACAATATTGATATTGATGTAAAATACGGAAACATGTTTTACCGGTTAAAAAAAGCTAAACTAAGCCCAAGACTGTGGCTAGGACTAAAATAAACAGTATATAACGCGTAAAAATAATCAAAAAGTAAAATAGGACATTGCGCCTTTTTTTATTCAATACGTATCGTTGTAAATCAAATTATTAAAACATTTAAAAACTTTATATGTATGCAAGATCAACGTTTGTACCCAATAAAATTATTCAAGATCAAAGAGAAACAGCCAAGAGACAATTTCGCATTGTCTGGTCATTGAGAAGGCTTGAATAAAATTAAATCATAAATTAAGAAAGCACACCGACGAAGCTTGAATCTCAAGCTGACTCTAAGTTCAAACTTTAATCTAAGCCTTACTACAAGAAAAGGTTAATTGTTTTTAACAAACCAAAGCTTAAGTTCACAATTAGCTTCCAGATTGAAACAAAGCGTAAGCTCTGTCTTGTTAGCTTAATCCTGAGTCTGGGCCTAAGGCTAAGCATAAATCTAAGCCTGAACTTCAGCCTTCCCCGTAGTTTCTGCCTAAGCCTACATTTAACATTAATTATAAGACTAAACCTAAACAAGAGCCTAAGCCAATTTTAAGTTCCAGCTTAATCGAACCCAAGTTTAAAGTCAAGCCCAAGACGCAGCTCCAGTTCTATTTCAAGCTAAAGCCTAAGCATAAGTTTAAGCTTAAGCCTAAGCCTAAGCCTAAGCCTAAGCCTAAGCCTAAGCCTAAGCCTAAGCCTAAGCCTAAGCCTAAGCCTAAGCCTAAGCCTAAGCCTAAGCCTAAGCCTAAGCCTAAGCCTAAGCCTAAGCCTAAGCCTAAGCTTAAGCCTAAGCCTAAGCCTAAGCGTAAGCGTAAGCGTAAGCCTAAGCCTAAGCCTAAGCCTAAGCCTAAGCCTAAGCCTAAACCTAAGCCTAAGCCTAAGCCTAATTTTAAGCCTAAGTTTAAGCCTAGGCCTAAGCTTAAACCTAAGCCTATGTCTAAACCTAAACCTAAACTTAAACCTAAACTTAAGCCTAAGCCTAAACCTATGCCTATGTTTGAGCGTAAGCATAAGCCTAAGTCTAAGCTTGCGCCTCAGCCTAAGCCCAATTCAAAGTCAAAGCCGTATCCTTAACCGCAACTTAAGCCTACGTCCAAATCCAAGCTTCAGTCTAAGCTCAATCCTGCGCGCGTGTTCAAGCCTTAGCGTAAATCCATGCCAAATTTGAAGCTGAAGACCAAGCGTAAAGAAAAAAATCATAAAAAAGTATATTTAGCCGATAATTTTAAAAATTAAAATTAAATTTCAAAAACTTAAAAATTTTTAAAAAATCAAAAAATCGTTTAAAACCCTAAATTGCATAGATTTCTCGCACTCGCATAACCATTTGATTTTGCAACATATTCTCGGCATTCCTGGCACGTGTTTTGTTTGTTTTACCTTTTTGAACATGGCTGTTGACCTTGGCACCACTTACTGGACATCCAAGACGCAGATATTGTGGGTATTGTTTGTTCCTGCAGTTACGTGACAGTATTTTGCGAAAGTATTAAGTCAAGTATAATATTAAGTAATTAGAGAAGTAAATATGACTCGAGTGATATTTGCTTTCGGCTTTTCCTTGCTCTTATTATTGTATATTGTACTTGGGTTTTGTGTCTGGCTGAAACAAGGGTGGATCCTGGATTGATTTTTTAAGTTTTGTGTTTTGTAAAGAAAGTTCTTGCCATTTTTTGTTTTGTAAAGAAAGGTTTTGCCATTATCCGTTTTGTAAAGAAAGTTTTTGCTATTTTTTGAAATTCTACTCAGATCAAGTTTATTAATCTTAATAAGCCTAAGCTTACTAAGGCTACGTGTACTAAACCTAGGCTTTTTAAATAAAAAAAAATTCTAAGCCTAAGCTTCTTAATGTTAGACCTACTAAACCTAAGCTTACTCAGCGTTAGCCTACTGAGCCTAAAGTAATGTAACTAAGCCTAAAATTTTGAAAAAAGCCTATTAAGCCTAAGCAGCTCTAAATAAGCCTAAATTCTTTAAGACTAGACTCACTAAGCCTAAGAATCTACTTAATCTTAAACCTTCTAAGCCTAAGATTATTAAGCCAAATTCTACGAAGCCTAAGCTTACAAAGCCTAAGATACTCTAGCTATGCCTAAACTCTTTATGTCTCGGCTTACTAGGCCTAAGAAATCTAATAAACCTTCAACCTTTTAAGCCTAAGAAGACTAAGCCTAAGCCTACTGAGCCTAATCCAACTAAACTTAAAACGACTAAGCTTGAGCCCACTCAGCCTAAGCCTACTAAGCCTAAGCCTACTAAGCCTAAGCCTACTAAGCCTAAGCCTACTAAGCCTAAGCCTACTAAGCCTAAGCCTACTAAGCCTAAGCCTACTAAGCCTAAGCTAAATTTTTTTAAAAAAATGCTATTTTTGCTTTTAAAATTTAAAATTTTGCAACTTTCTTCCTACCTTAACCCCTCAACCCCCACAACCCTCGACCCGGCTTTGTTTTACTGCCAGTCCACGTTTAACAGCCCAGACGAGTCATATTTACAGTACTTGTACAAATACTCGTCCCTCTTCAAGTTTTATGACGAAAAATCCTCT